TTGAGATGCAGCGTTTTTCAATGTATGCCTTATAATCTTAGTCTATAATCTAAATAGTAGTAATCAAGTGTAAAACAGAATAGTAAAATATCAAAAGGCTAGAATAGTGCCTTCAAGGGCACCCGGTACAGGAAAGTCAGTAAAGAAACAAAGACTCCTGATGATGTACTATAGCGAACCGAAGCAGTTGTAAATAAAGAGATGCTACAAATTATAATACAAATTGCTAAAGATACCCTAATCGGTATACACGTCTATTGTGCCCCGAACAGCTGTCCGCCGTCTAAGTCCCAAAGATGCCTGAGTGGCTCTATAATCAAGCCCGTGGTAAATATCCGCTCACAAGGCAAAGGTGCCATGGGACACAAAAGACAAGACTTTATAGTAACAGAATATCGCGCCCCGACGGGCGTTTCGCCTAACTTAAAGGCTCATCGGGGGAACTGATTCACCGATATCTCGGGGTTTAAAAAGCCCGCCCTTGAATCTGATTGGTCACATCTAGATTCAGGGGATAGGGGCAAGTACGGTGGCCGAGATGACTCAAAAGACTATAATAATAATATGCACAAAATTTAATGCGTGATTACAAAAATTAGAATGTACTTATAAGATGAAGTTTATGGTGTAGCAGTAATGTGCTGTAGTGCCATAATACCTGTCGTTTCAAGTCTGACCAGACAGTACAAGATATAAGAAACAATATTTGGCAGACAAAGTATGATGTTAAATCTTCCTATAGTGCCAGTTTGAGAAGTAGTCTCTTATGATAAGAATTAATACCGTAGATCTATATTCATAAAATCCTAATGAAATTGTGAAAAAATTAATTAACTATTTGATGTCTATGTATGATGATCAATTTACTTATGTATGAATGGTGTATAGTTGAACTCCTCATTAAGACCTGAAGGGGCCAGGGTCTTAAACGAAAAAATCCACTGTGATTCTTTTCTGAGTAAAGTTTTGTTAAAGTCACCCTTCCTTGGATTTGGTAGCACTTTCTCGATTGCCTGGAATCTAAGGTTGTCAGGATTACCATCATGGAAATTGAGAATGTGTCTTGCTACCGGAGTAGGTGTGACAGTATTCTTAACAGAAGTTATATGTTGCAAAATCCTGCGTCTAAACTGCTGAAAAGTTTTACCAATGTATTGAGTTCCACAGCTACAAGTGATCAAATAAACCACTCGCGTAGAACTGCAATTAACTAAGGCATTCGTCTCAATCCTGATATGGGTTTGAGTGGACGTGGTAAACTTTGAGGGCAAAATGTATTGGCAGGCCTTACAGTGCCCACATTTATAAGTCCCCTTGGTGTTTGATAACCAATTGGTTGGTGGTAAAGGGGGTGCCAGATGGCTGTGGACAAGTTGGTCTTGTAAATTGATTGGTCTGCGCGCTGTTAGAGGTGGATGCTCTGGTAACACATGTTGGAGTTCTGGGTTATGTAGAAGTATTGGCCAATTTTTCTTGAGGACTTGGGACATACGTCCCCAGCCCTGATCAAATATCGCAATGCATCGTGGGGCCTTGCATTCTTGTTTCGGTTTAGTGAAATGAAGGCTGGTGTTTCTATCAATACTGCATACGCGATGAAAAGCACGTTTTAAGACACGGTTGGGATACCCTAATTCCCTAAACTGGGATTTCAATACTTTTCATTCATTGTAGAATGTCTGGTCTATCGAACAGTTTCGTCTAGCCATCAAGTACTGGCTAAAAGGGATGGAAGCTTCTAATCTGTGGGGATGATGGCTCTCCCAATGTAACAGACTGTTAGTTGATGTAGCCTTTCTAAACAGTTCTGTTTGAATAGTCCCATCCTGTTCCAGCAAAATTTTCAGGTCTTAAAATACCAATTCATGTTCATCTATCACATGTTAATTTCAAGTTGATGTCATTGTCGTTGAGGGCCTTGAGGAAATCCTCAAACATGGGGATGGACCCTGTCCAGAGGAGCAACATGTCATCAATATATCTATGCCAACTTAAGATGTATTCATGAAAGTGGCTGAATTTGAGTATCGCGATGACATGTTGCTCCCACCACCCCAAAAACAAGTTGGCATAGGTGGGTGCACAGGCCGTCCCCATGGCATTGCCAGAAATCTGTAGATAATAACGACCGTTAAACGTAAAATATTTATGTGTTAAAATGAACTCCAGAATGGCCAAGATGAGTTTTTTCTGTTGGTCATTATATGATGTGTTGTCTAAGAAAAATCTACATGCCCGTATTCCTATTTCGTGGGGGATGTTGGTATACAATGCTACCACGTCCAAGCTTGCCAATAGTGTATACGGTGGAACTATCATATTTTGTAATGTTAGAAGTGTAGACTTTGTGTCCTGAAGATAAGATGGTAATGATAATACCATAGGGTGCAGGATTTTGTCAATTAATTTGCTGAGGGATTCTGTAAGACAGTTATTCCCAGACACAGTGGGTCTACCGGGAGGGGGTCTAATGCCCTTGTGTACCTTTGGCAAACAGTAGAATGTTGCAATAGTGGGGGGTTTTGTGTGGTAATAAAAATCTGAATTCATCCTTACAGATCACCTGTTGATCTAAGGCATCATTAAGTAGGGTTTCTAATTCTCCTACAAAGTTGGTAGTGGGATCAGAAGAAAGGATCCTATAATGTGTTTTATCGTCAAGATGTGACATACACAACTGCCATTCTGGGGTCAAGAAGGAATTTTTTTCCTAGCTTGTTGCAAAATTGTGCTTCAAACTGGGTTTTTTTGCCTTCTTTTGGATCAACAGCAAAAAACAAATGTGAGGAAGGCTGAACTTGATGGACGCAAGTCTCTTTTCAGCTATGTAACTATGTAACACATGTTGACGTATTCAGGTCGATTCATAAGGACAATGTTGCCCCCTTTGTCGGCTGGTTTTATTATTACATCCGTTTGTTGTTGTAGTTCTTTTAAGGCTTTACGTTCACAGGGGCTTAGATTACTGATATCTGGGGTCTGAATGTCCAACATTGAAAAACGCTGCATCTCAACTTTTACGATTGAGCTGATTTGCATATTACTGTTTCAATACGGATTCAGGCATCTGATGTTGATATGGCTCTTATTTAGCACTACTTAAGCAAATATTTATAAAAGAACCATTGAAGAGATCATAAGAGTACGTTCATTTGCTATTACGATCATAGGCTGAGTTTATATTGACTGTAGAAGAACTCATTTATCTTTGACATATTGATACAATTGTATCTTATGATACTGCACACGTTAATTTAGTGGGATTTTTTTTACAAGCCTAGTTAGGCTACATAGTTGCAATACCTTTGATGCAATAATTCTACTCTAGATACTTATGTATATCGCTACGGCGACATGTAGATACTCAGCTTACGTTTTATTTGTTTGTGTAATTCTTTATTTTTTCTTACTTTTTATTATTTTTTGTACTCCTTACTTGGACTGCCGAAATTTACTTTCGTTTAGTCAGACAGTCACTGCCGGGGTTATTATTTTCTATACTGGTATCCTTGATTAATTAATAAAGTATCTTCTAGATTTCTAACTGTTTGTGTGTACTTGATATTGATAGTGGGAACAGATTTTCTCTCGTTCTTTTCTTTAGATCTAGATTTAGTTTGTAGATCCTAAAATGACTGTAAGTGGTAAGTAGAACAGAATTCTAGGACAGGGGCTGGAGCCCAAAGGAAAACTCGTTGAACACTTCACTAATAGACAATGGAGAAATGTCATGACATATCCCTACCTATCTATGTTATGTCCTCTCCTCTCTAACTATATCAATGAGAGCATAGCCAGAAACTAGCAATTGTTGAAAGTCAGGTATTCAATGCAATCTCACAGCGCTACCTAATAGGAAAATGAGTGTTCCGAAAAGTTCTGCTTTCCAGCACACCATCTGGATAGTCATCTATGGGGCACCACCACCTCTCACTAACTAGGCGGGCAGAGCACTATAATACTGATCTTTCTTTTTTATTATTATAATAGGTGGCTGCTTTAAAAATCAGCTGCCTGATATAAAATTAAAAACCAAACAAACACACTTATATCCATTGCCCCCTCCACTATCTGTAGAAATATGGGGCTAAGAGTCCAACAACCAAGGCTTTAGCCCCCCAAGGCCCACCTTGCAACACCTATGGTCCAGTATAGAAGGTCTATCTAGTTCTGATCATGTTGTAATATCTAAAAAGATGATGGAATACTCTAAAACTTACAAAAGAAGATCTTTCAATTTTGGAGATGTAGAAAATATTAATTCCAGTAAATTAACAAGGTGGCTACAAGGCAGAAGGATCACAAGACTATGTGTAATATGCAAATGTTATCTACAAGATGTGATCTAATAAAGATATGAATAATGTTGTTCAACACTGCGCAATTGTGATGAATTAATTTAGAAATCGCACATTTTAAGCAAAACAAACAAACAAACAAACAGACAAAAACACAAATTTTCAAAATTCTCCAACAATTTTTCAAGCTTGGTGATTTAGGCTTAAAAGAACTTCTTTGTTACTTCTTCACAATACTCCATTTAGTGAATAAAGTCCTTTTTCTGACCGCTTTGGAAGAATTTGAAGGATCAGTTATAGAATTCTTGACTTTTATTCTTCCTTTTAAACACCCAGCCACTTGTCTACCAGACTACTTGTGAAGATGGTAGAATTGTTACAATAGAAAATATATCTTCAAGCCTGTAATTTTACCCATTCAACAGATCAGGTCATTGCAGTTGTTTGTTCCTTGAGTTTTTTTCTTGAGAAGGAAATTCTATTACCTATAAATCAGTAGAGGTTTTCTATCAATATGTTTAAAGTCTGTCCACATGTACTTATTACGTTTATTATTGTTATTATTATTTATATAGTGCCAACATATTTCACAGCGCTAGAAAATTATAGAATGGAGATAAATGACAACAAGTTATTGACATACAGAATATAACAAACATGTGAACTAGTTTACAATCTAAGAATTTATAAACATAACTCTGTTATCTAATCTGTTAATGGTTAATGTAATTTGGGCAATGGGTGACAGTGAGAAACTAAATAGTGTATTGCATTTTTCATTATCAATGCTAAAAAAAAGTGAATTACTAATAGTAATTATTTCCATAGGAAAACAAACAAAAGAAGGATAGCGGGCACCTTTGACAGGAGTCATTAGTAACAGAAAATAATAATGGGGAAAGCAGCTGAAGTTAATAGTGTGGGGTAGAGATTAATTTATTGCTTTGAATCATCGAATGGAATCAATCACAATTATTAAAGTAGTTTTCAGGAAGTATTTTTTCAAATCTCTGCCATTTAAACTATGACATGCCTAAGATTTCTTAGCCAGTTCTGGACCAACCAATCTATTGCTGGAAATATCATATAACACCCTTAGCAAAAACGGTAGTGCCCAATGTAATCCAGCCGTGACCCACAGTGATGGAATTAGAATGGGCATTCTGTTACATAGGACATGGCAGGTATTAACAATTTGCCTAGAGTGTTCTATATTTTGAGATTAAAAATAAATCTATCACCATCCCCTATGTATATACAGTGAATGGTTAAATATATAGATTTTATAATAACTATGACTTTGTGTTTGTGTTAATTGAAGATATAGGTCTAACATTAAAGCGTGTGAGAGTCTTGGTGGACTTCTTACAGCAGCTTGGTTGAAGTCATACATTGGTTAAATCATTTAGAAAGATGGAGAGTGAGGAACTGTGCAAATAGTTTGTAGTAATAGTTAATAAACCTGTCAGAGCTTGGTGATTTATCTATTTAATATTTTATATATTCATATGTTTGATATTGGTCAAAACATCCCCTGAAGAGATGGCTTTAATTCATTACGAATCCTGTTGAGGCGTAACTTGAGGGCAGAAAATTCACAACGACAGACACTGACTTCTAAAAAGTTACTATACGGTTGAGGTTATTATCCTACAAATAATATTGCCCTTCTAGAACCGTGTGATCATTTTCATCCACAGAGCTTCTACTTGATTATAAGTATTTACCATTGCAAATTATAATCTGTAAAGTCACAGCCATGACTATTGTACCGTTAAGTTTCTACTTTATCATTTATTGTAAATAATTTGTCACTAACTCTACACCTTCATATATCACTTTCTAGCCGTTTTTGTAAGGTTGCAACTAGTCTTTATTTTAGATACCATCATGCTGGATGTTCTTTCCTTGATCTTGTAACCTAGAGCCTTAAAGTAATATCTAAGGAACCCCTATCAATCACTTTGCAGTTATCACCATCACATATTAAAATATCTGGTCCATCCCTTACTCCATTAAGCTATCTACCTCAGCAAAGAAAATGGCCGCTGCAATTTGATTGCTTTATAGGGGCCCGGTCGGACCCTTTAAGAGCACGACCATGCCCCTGTAGTATTGGTGGGCTGGAAGGAAGTGATAGCAGATTACTTCCTCCCAGCTTCACAGAGTTGCTTCTGCGCAGTAGGAAGGGAGGAGGCAGCTGGAGACTGAGAGGGGCCCACCAAGAGATGGAGCAGCATGTATGGCAGAAGAGAGGCTGGAGTGAGCATCCCATCAGCCTCAGCCAACATCACCAGGACCACAAGCAAGCCACCCTCCTGGACACGCAAGCATGGGCGTAGGAACCCCAAAAAATCTGGGGGGGGTAGCATTTTTACTCGCCGGGTATATTCTTATTCCGTAAACTAGGAGTTGTTTATCCCATTGTACAGCGTTGCGGAATTTGCAGTCGCTATATAAATGATTAAATAATAACTTCAGGGAAGGGATTTTACTTACCTGGATACAGCGCCGGGATCCTCCTGATGCCGAGCCCCCTGTTTCGTCAAAATGACTTAATAGGAGGGTGCGAGCAGGGAGCAATAAAACGCTTCTATTCAGAAGCGTCATTGCTCTCTGGTGCACATGCACAGCTTTGCCGCACATGCACAGATACTTCATAGGGCGGCATTCATTTCTCAACTAGGAAGCACCTCTAGTGGCCATCTGAGTGTCCACTAGAGGTATTCCTCATCAGTAATGTAAATACTGCCTTTTTACAAAATGGCTGTGCTTACATTAAAAAGCCTGCAAAGACATGCTATAGACACCAGAACTACTACGTTTAGCTGTTGTGGTTCTGGTGACTATAGTGTCCCTTGAATATAGAGAGGAAAAAAGAATCATCACAAATGTAAGAAATAAAATGTCTGTATCATTATTCTAAAAATTATTTTAAAAAAATATGCACATTCCTAGCTTAATTTTTAGCACGACATATGACACAAACATTTTGTACTTTGCAGATTACTTTTTATATTTTGTTATACATATACAGATTGTGTAATACTGCCCCTGACTTAGGGTGACCACATTTCCTAACTGCCATTCAGTGACACTTTCAGAAGTGCATTCCATACATTTTACTACCCGTCTCTACCCCTTCCATTTATATTAGAACCCCACCTACCCCTTCCATGAATATTAGAACCACCCCTACCCCTCCCATGAATATTAGAACCACCCCTACCCCTTCCATGCACAAAAGAACCCCACCTACTCCTTCCACGCATATTAACCCCCCTACCCCTTCCATGCATATTAGTACCCCCCTAACCACCCATGCTAACCCCTTTCCATGCATATTAGAACCCACCCTACCCCTTCCATTCATATTAGTACTCCCCTAACCCCTTCCAATAATTTTTCTACCTCCCCCCTCCTCCCATCCATATTAGTAGCCCCCCTAAACCCTTCCAATTATTTTTCTACCTACCCCTCTCCCCCTATCCTTATTAGTAGCCCCCTAACCCTTTCCAATTATTTTTCTACCTACCCCTCCCCCATCCATATTAGTAGCCCCCCTAAACCCTTCCAATTATTTTTCTACCTTTGTCCCCCCTTTTACCTGACATAGCAGGGGGACCTCTGGACGTCTGGCAATGATTTTTGCCGACCTAGGCAAAAGTAAAGTTTGACCCCCCCCCCCCATGTGACATCACAATGCCCCACCCATATGATCTGCCATGTTAACTAACGCCAGTGCTGGAGTGCCGCCGTGTTTACATTAAAAGGCCTGCAGGGACAGGCTATAGACACCAGAACCACTACATTAAGCTGCAGTGGTTCTGGGGACAATAGTGTTTCTTTAATGTGAGGTAAATTAGAGATTAGTGCCACGAATAATATACTAGATTGTCTACTTACAACCAGATGAGGATGATGATGGGCTCTAGCTGCAGTCTGGCTCCACTGGTCTGTTGTAGAACATGCTCTCTGGAGGCTGTTTGTAACTGTGGTCACAAAAATCAATGTTCTGGGAGAACGGGAAGCAGCTCCATTTTTTGGGGGCCCTTTACACAGCTCAAGGTCTGGGTCCCAGGGTCCACCTTCATGTTCCACCAATGAGTTTGTTCACAGGGGTGGAGTGTGTAGGGGATGTCCTGATATGTGTGTAAGGAATGCATTGTGTGAATCTGTGTTTGTATGTGTAAGGGCTGCAAGGTGTGTTTCTGTGTTTGTACGGGATGCAGTGTGTGCGTCTGTAAGGGGTGCATTGAGTGTGTGTACAGGGTGCATTTAGTGTGTGTAAGGAATGCATTGTGTGTTTCTGTGTGTGTAAGGTTTGCATGATTGTGCGATTGTGTGTGTGTGTGTGTGATGGATGTCACTCTCTTTCTCCCCCCCCCTCCCTTGTCACTCTCCTTCTTCCCTCCTCCCTCCCTTGTCACTCTCTTTCTTCCCTCCTCCCTCGTCACTCTCTTTCTTCCCCCCTCCCTCGTCACTCTCTTTCTTCCCCCCTCCCTCGTCACTCTCACCCCCCCTCCTCGTCACTCTCTTTCTTCCCCCTCCCTGGGCTCTCTCCCTTCCTCCCTCCCTTGTCCTCTCTTTCTCCTTCCCTCCCTCCTTGTCCTCTCTTTCTCCCTTCCCTCCCTCCTTGTCCTCTTCTCCCTTCCCTCCCTCCTTGTCACTCCTCTTTCTCCCTTCCTCCTCCTTGTCCTCTCTTTCTCCTTCCTCCTCCCCTGTCCTCTCTCTCCCTCCCTCCCTCGTCCTCTCTTTCTCCCTCCCTCCCTCCCTCGTCCTTTCTCCCTTCCCACTCCCTCCTCGTCCTCTCTTTCTCCCTTCCTCCACTTCTCCTCTCTTTCTCCCCTTGTCATACTTTCTCCCCCTTGTCCTCTTTCTCCCCCCCCTTGTCCTCTTTCTCCCCCCCTCCCTTGTCCTCTTTTCTCCCCCCCTCCATGTGTCCTCCTGCCCCCCCTCCTTGTCATCTTTCTCCCCTCCCTTGTCACTCTTTCTTCCCCCCCCCTCCTGTCCTCTTTCTCCCCCCCTCCCTTGTCACTCTTTCTTCCCCCCTCCCTTGTCCTCTGCTTACCCCACTCCTTGTCCACTCTTTCTCCCCCTCCATGTCCTCTCTCTCCCCCCATGTCCGCTCTCTCTCCCCCCTTGTCACTCTTTCTCCCCTCCCTCCCTGTCAATTCCTCCCCCCACCCCCATTTGCTGTAGCGTGGCCGAGCGCTCTATGGTCCGTGGGTACAGGGAGCTTATGCTCCCTGTACCCTCCTGTCAGCCCCTCTGCCCATGCTGTGCCCGGGCGGTGCGGTCCGCCCTCATGGACGCACCGCCCGGGCAAAGCTGCAGCCGCCTGAGGCTCTCTACAGACCTGTAGAGACCTAACCTGTCTCCCCCCCACATGATTTGCTGGGGGGGATGTGTCCACCCCATCCCCCCGGTTCCTACGCACATGAATGTGGGGAATGTTTTATTAATCTTTATTTAGATGTTTGTATACATCAGAAGAGAATAGAAAGAATCAAAACAGGCATCAATTACTTTTGAGAACTGGGAACATGGCTCCAATAGAATAGTTAAAGAATCAAGAGAATCAATGTGGATTAAGAATAACATATAGATCCTCGGTAAACCTCAAAAAGAAGCATGTTTAATTTTAACTAAGGAACTACAGTGAGTATTAAAGGGACACTATAGTCACCTGAACAACTTTAGCTTAATGAAGCAGTTTTGGTGTATAGAACATGCCCCTGCAGCCTCACTGCTCAATCCTCTGCCATTTAGGAGTTAAATCCCTTTGTTTATGAACCCTAGTCACACCTCCCTGCATGTGACTTGCACAGCCTTCCATAAACACTTCCTGTAAAGAGAGCCCTATTTAGGCTTTCTTTATTGCAAGTTCTGTTTAATTAAGATTTTCTTATTCCCTGCTATGTTAATAGCTTGCTAGACCCTGCAAGAGCCTCCTGTATGTGATTAAAGTTCAATTTAGAGATTGAGATACAATTATTTAAGGTAAATTACATCTGTTTGAAAGTGAAACCCGTTTTTTTTTTCATGCAGGCTCTGTCAATCATAGCCAGGGGAGGTGTGGCTAGGGCTACATAAACAGAAACAAAGTGATTTAACTCCTAAATGGCAGAGAATTGAGCAGTGAAATTGCAGGGGAATGATCTATACACTAAAACTGCTTTATTTAGCTAAAGTAATTTAGGTGACTATAGTGTTCCTTTAAGGATGGAATGAGGAAAAAAGGGGGGTTAAAAAAAGAAAACTATTGCCTCCTACCCCACAGGATGGTCTATAAAGAAAAAGAGCAAGAAATAATAAGACCAAAGAAAAAACCTTGTGTGGTCATGATAGTAGCCTGAGTTCCAAGAATGTGTGTATTTTTCCTTTTGCTAACAATAACACACTATTTTATCTCGTTGGTGTACAGAAGGTTTTCTTATCAAGTTTGAATCTTGGCCAGTAGGGAAACGGATCTTTCCTATAATTGTAACCTTTTCATTTACTACATCTTAATCTGCTAGTTATGGTCCTGAGTGCTCCTAATTCTAATATATATGCCAAGGAGGGACAGCCATGTTCTCCAGGTTATTTTTCCATCCTATTGCGAGGAACGTCAGTCTGCCTCTCCATTTGTCTAACACCCTCAACTCGTACTAGTCAGCTCTGATACGTGGGGCAGAGGATTGCATCCACAGTGCAGGAATCAGGAACTTGGGTGTGGTTAATAAATGTTTCCAAAACATCTTTTTATATTAAAAAGGAGGTAGCTTAGTACCATTCAACAACATATGAGCTGGTTGAAAAACCACCCCTTCCTCTGCAAGTGCATTTATAACTTTGTATACCTTTTTAAAGAATAGAAACGGCATTCAAAAACACATGTAGCAATGATCCAATCGACCCATGGCACCTCCAGCATTTGTCTGAGTTTTCAGGGAAAAATTTATATAACTTTTGAGAAGTGTTACACCAATTAGTCATAATGTTATTTATCATTCATATTCTGATTTTTGAAGCATGAAGAGATTTAATGCAACAAAAACAACATTTTGCACTACCATTAAAGGACATCGGCAGAGTGTCTTCCCAGTATGACAGTAAATCAAATGGCAGTGAGTCCCAAGCAAAATCAACTGAGAAAGGGTCAATATACTCAAAGCTAATGGTTCAGCTTGAGAGCAGTATTGTTCAAAGGTCATAAGTGGCCTGGGTAAAATCCCTCTGGGAGAGATTTATAAAAATAAGTCAACAGTACAAAAACTGTTCCAGTTTTTCTGAGTCCGTTAATGGCATCCAAATTGATGGTCTTCACAAAAAGGGTTGGATACTGCCTAAAAATTTGAAGGCTCAATGTTTCGAACTCTCTCAGAGAAAGAGGTCAAAACAGTGCTCTGTATACGATGTTCCAATAAATCTGGCTAATTTTGAGCCTGGAGTACCTGAAGACTTTTTTGTATTTGCTGAATTCAATGATAGCGCTGACACTGGCTGTGTTAGCAGCCAGCCTTTTTGGCTGTTGGAAAAACTGCGGTTCCAGTTCTTTTTTTGGACCTTTCAAGGGAGTGACAATTATTTACAGACCCACAACACACATATGTGTAGATTAATTATTTTATATCTACAATAAGGATAATCTGCACTTGATTGTGTTTTTTTTTTTTTTTTTATTTCAGAATTAATTTGATCATTGGATGTGAAGTATAATCTATAGCATAACACTTGTTTTTTGTTTTTTGTATAATTTTGTCACTTGGTGAAAAAAAATCATTAGGTGATTGCAGCTTGTTTATTTGCATGCACGATTTATTACATTTTCTTTTAGTGCTATCCACTTTTGGGTTATTTTGAGTTTAAGTCTAGGTCTGCCACCCTTCTATATTTAATGCAACAAAGGAAAAATTAAAAGAGGGGAAAAAAGGGCAGAGGGCAACTGAACAGGGATTGTATAAAAAAAGATACAGCAACCTAGCTAAAAGTTATAACGAATTTTATATGGCCAATCAACAAAAGTTGTGGAACTGACCAGGCTGTCATGTCCGTTTTGAATCTAGCTAAAATTGGGAAAAAGTGGTTAGTACAATCAAGGGAAGACTAAGGGAACAAATGGGCATGAGAAAAAAATGGCTTTAAGGTAACTACAAATAGCAATGGAAACAAGTGACAACCTTGTTGTGTACCATTTGTGATAGTAACCTGGTCTGTAAGTGCCCTATTTGCTCGAACCCTAGCTGTGGGAAAAGTGTATAAAGCTTTAATCAAAGTGCAGAGGTTATTATTAGAATTTATACAGAGTCAGCATAGTCTGCTTTCTACAATTATAGAAAAGGGATATGAAGAATGTCCTGTTCGAATTAACTTCCACTCTATGAGGATGTTACCACTGCTCTAACTGGTGATCACCAAAACCCATTTTATGGAAGGTCATGTGCATGAAAATCCAATCCACCAAATCAAAAGCTTTCTTTGGATTGGTAAAGATGAGAAGCATAGGGCGATGCGATTATTGGGCCAGCTGTGCTATAGTAACAATGCGAATTGCATTACCGTGCCATGCACCCTACCCATTTTGAAGTAATTTAGGCATTTCATAATTCCTCAATTGTGAAGTCAGAACCTTGATAATACCATCTCAAATCTATTCATTATTTTTTGTAACTTGTAAGTCGTCAAAATTAGAGTGTATATTGTACAAAGTTGAATAATAGCTACAAAATGCTGCAGAAATGTCCTGACGAAATTCTGTAGGTTTCGATTTTCCAGATTTATTAAAGTGGATATGGAACCGTTGTTGCTTCAGCAACATGTGGGGAAGGAGCCTGCCCAGTTTGTTGTAATGTTAAAAGTTTATCCGTCGCAATAGTTGGAGTACCACTTATTAGTGCTGCAAAAGCAATCTGAAAAGTTTCTAACTGGCATCCAGATGTTTGTGTATTAAGTTACAAAAGTTATATCCTATTATATTGAACAGTGTTGCCTCCAACATGAAGAAGCAAGTACAATCTGTAAAATGTGTCTTTTAATAGCATATTATGTAATTTTAATATATTTAAACCATTATGCATTATATGCATATCTCAACTATGATCTTGGGAAAAGACAGCACTCTAAGAAAAAAAATATATTTTAAATTGCATAGCTGTCTGCAGACAGAAAGATTTCGACTCACAGACCAGAACCAATGCCATGTTGTTGAGACACCCAGATGCCTGACTTTCCACATTAGCATATTGAGCTGGGACTTCTGGAAGAATTGTGGAAGCGGAGCTTTCAGAACTACTGTGCCCAAGGCGGAGTTTCCTCAAGGTCCTACTGGAGGTACATAGATGATGCACAACAGCATTTTTAAAATATAAACATACACATACTCACACAGTACAGTGCAATCACAGTTACTACTGCAGCTGTGACAATGTCACGTTAATGGGGTTTGTTACATTTTGGGATGTTGGATATAATGGGTTTTTGGAATACACTGTAGTCCAACTGGAGGCTTGGGTAAAATGTTCAGCCCTTAAGAGTTAAATGCCCACCCTACAAATAATATGAAAAAATTGCTTGTATTGTATCATATGACCAGTTTAATAAGATTAACAACACTTATGTGTGATCCTTAAAAATACGTGGTTACAAAAGTGGCACAAAACTGTTAACAGACAGATTCCGTATGCACGGAACATCACTTACTCAACCAACAGGTCCACTAAAGCAGAAGTGAATAGACAGAGAAGCTATCCCATATTTGATAGTGGGTGCATTATGAACTAGGTCCAGCCCTATGTATATACATATATATGTGTGTTTGTATGACTGTGTATATAGTTTTTATCTGTACATTTATATATATAAAACAAGGAATGTAGTCCGCTGATAAGAAAGCACAACTGAGCCATTATATTCAGTCTCTCTGACCTTTCTCCCTCCCTTCCTCTATTTTGATTCACCCCTCCTCCCCCCACCCCCCCAATGACTGTAGTCATTTCGGAAACAATGATGCAATGCGATTGGCTTGAATAACTCAGCCAAAGATATTGTCTTCCTTCTATGACACATGGTTATTGTTGAGTGTCAGTATAGTTTTTGTAAGCAAAAACTACATGGAGAGACAAAATTACTATTAAACAATCAATATTAGCTAGGTGCAAACCATACAAGCACTCCCTCAAGTGCTTAAACACAATAATCACTATATAATATAGAATGCACACTGTTACACTCACGGATATTAAATATAAACCTTTAATAAGTATTCAAATAAAGAATATTTTACATATTATACAAAAAAGGAACAGAGTAACCGTACAAAGCAAATTGCACACAAAATAATATATCCAAACCTTAGAAGCCTCAAGGCAGGGACACAAGTCACCAACTACACCAACGTTTTGGCACCAAATGGCTGCCTTTATCAAGGGTACCTGTATCTGTGTCCTCATGTGTCTGCTTATAAAGCCCCATACAGCTGATGGACATCAGCATGTAATTACCACCAACCCCGGAAGTGACGTCATCACCTCAGGTGCTGGTATAATTCAATAGATACAGTACACTATACATAATATATATACGCACAAACAAAAAATAGCACAATATCATATACCTTGAAATAATTAAGTATGCAATACATGTACTCTCCCTCGTCCGAACTCATTATCCCCACGCAAGCGTACTGTACAGTGTGTAATCTCACACCGCCATTCTGATTATTGGCACCGCACCTACCTGTGGTAGTGTGCATGCGCAAGCCGTCAAATCACACTTGCGTACGCCTTCTAATCGCACATTTGCTTATATTATGTGGTGGTATCTGTGTTGTTGGTTGCACTATTTACTATTAGGTGCATTCAATATCACAAATCTTTTGGTTTTTAGCCCTTAACAGATTGCTACCCTCTCCTCCGTTTATTTATTCTATTGGAGTTATTTTAGAGCAGTATTTTCAGTCATTTAGGTGCCGGTTTTGGATTGTGGGCATAGCCATCAAGCAAGATAGCGCGGCATACACACTTGTGTATACGACATATTAGCAGCGGTTATTTTTACGCAATGCACATGCACGATTAGAAGAAGTACACAAATGCAATTTGATGGCTTGCGCATGCGCACTACCGCAGGTAGGTGTGATGCCAATAATCAGAATGGCGGTGTGAGATTATACCCTGTACAGTACGCATCCGTGGGGATGATGAGTTCCGACGAGGGAGAGTATATGTATTGCATAATTAATTATTTCAAGATATATTATATTATGCTAATATTTGTTTGTGTATATATATTATGTATAGTGTACTGTATCTATTGAATTATACCAGCACCTGAGGTGATGATGTCACTTCCGGGGTTGGTGGTAATTACATGCTGATGTCCATCAGCTGTATGGGGCTTTATACGCAGACACAGGAGGACACAGATACAGGTACTCTTGATGAAGGCAGCCAGTTGATGCCAAAACGTTGGGGTAGTTGGTGACTTGTGTCTCTGCCTTGAGCCTTGTAAGGTTTGGATATATTATCTTGTGTGCAATTTGCTTTGTACTGTTACTCTGTTCCTATTTTGTATAATATGTAAAAATAATCTTTGTTTGCATACTTATTAAAGGTTTATATTTAATATCAGTGAGTGTTACAGTGTGCATTCTGTATTATATAGTCAGTATAATTTTGATCATCTGCAGCAAGTTTTTATTTTCATTTTTTAAAGTTTGCTTTTCATTACGAAGACTTTATTGTAATGAAAGCCTGCGCCACATGAAATAAGATGAAGATAGTTGGATAGTTAACTATGCTATAGTTTTTTTTTTTGTTTTTTTTTAAGTTAGAAAACATATTCATGTTTATTTTTGAAAGAATGAAAAGTCTGCAAATTTAACCTATCATGTCCATATAAATTTAGAAAGAAGTTATGGACCTTAGTTTGCTGTATTTAGTGTGTTATTGAGTCAGTATGACAAGGCACTGCCTTGGCAGCCTTTCTAGAGGATGGGAATGGTATACATTAAAAGGATAGTTGGAACATGCTAGTCCTGCTACTGCAATACATTCACGTACACCCCACGAGGGGTGTGAGAACAGGAGGGCATTCACAGCTCTTCCTTGAGTACCCCCATTAATTACATTACATTCATCCTCTGTACATATGTTATCGGAACAATTGTTTAAGTACCACTGGAATAGCAGGGATCAGGTTAACCCTGCACTATTAAAACTTCCCCATCTTACTGACCAGTACGGCGGTAGAGGGAACATTAATTCCCCCATCCTATAGCAGTGAATGGGAAAAAGAACAGATGAGAATAATTTCATGTGAATTTTCCTTAATTATTTTTGATGAATTTGTTGCTGCAAAATAGACTTTAAATAAATAATAATTAGTCCTTAGTGTTTATTTCCTTTTTTTTTTTTTTAAACCTTCCTTTCATACTTGTTTGCTTGCAATCTTTTCATCCCTCTTATCTTACTGAAGTTCTCATTGGCTGGTACAGGTTCTGCGACGGCAATTTATGCACATTACCTGCTCTGCATGGGCCGGCTGCTATAAGTAAATCGTGATCTAGGCCCAGAAACAGAGTCAAAAGGAATGTTGTCATATGGAAATACAAAACATATTTCTTCTGCAAAGCTCAGCAAATGAAATGTTTTGCACTGAACTAGATTAAATACCGTGCATTCCCTACTGTGTAACAACATATTAAAGTGCTCTGTAACATTATATAACGTGTGCATGGATATACGTAGATTAGATGTCATGGATTATAGACTGATGGAAATAAGTAGGCTATGACTTGATGAATTGGTAGGAAAAGTGTGAGAGTAGTTTTTATTGGATATTGGGATGTGTGGATGGCGATTTTGCTTTGTTGTGCATAATAATGAAAATAAATGTAGGTAGGAGCATTGTGAGTATGGCTAAATATCCTGAGAGTACTAATGAGAAACCATAAATATGTTGCCTGAAGGGTGATGTTATAGGACCTTCCACACTGTGCAGAACCAGGGCTGCCTGGAAGGAAAATCAGGGCAAAATAAAAAATAGAATTTCGTTTTTTTAAATACGTGATAACATGCCAAATTTGGGCTCATACAGTAAAAACATTTCCAATTCACGGACAATCATCTAGAATGCAGCCCGTCTTATGTTGTGATGTTGTCACGGTAATGTTTTATCCACAGCTACCAAATCCCACATGCACCTCTTACTGAGCCGCGTTCGCATTATGTGGGTACTATTGTGGCACTCAGCGGTAATTAGAGGTGGTGATAGTTTACAATTCCTACCTATTTACATCCAGGTAGATTGTCTTCTGCAGGTCCCAGGATCACTCTTGCAGTATCTTGTTCTCCTCAAATAGAAGACAATCTACCTGGATGTATCCAACAGAAAGCAGGACAGGACATGATACATACAGTAGAAAAGAATAAACATCTTGTGTGTGTATTTTTACCCATGTCCAGTCTATATATGTCCGAGGACGGTTGTCTGCATATATAGGAGGACTGTCTGTCTCCCATATATGAATGGGTTGTGTGCATGTTTATAGGGATGTCTGCACATGGACGGGAAAGGTTAGCGGATACCTGGAATAACCCTTCCAATTTAAATGAAAGGGGATCCATGAACGAAAGCTTGTTTATGTGGTAATATACTATCCATATATACAGTAAGCTTTTCGTTCATTTTAAGTCTTTAACCTGTCAGATGGGCTAGTTTAAAACAAAAATGAAAATAAAAAACAAAAGCCATAAAAACCAACCATCTCCTGACTGCATACTCCACACTGAGCTTCTGGCTACAACAGTACAGGTATGTTGGAACATGGAACTAGTGAATTGCATGCTCCAATCAGAGCCCCAGGTCTGCTGCTCCACACACCTTATTGGGTGCCGGAAGCAGTGGGTACTTGGCCAGGTTGGTGAAATCATACATGATACATGTGTGTGTATTAGGGTAAGCACATGTAAGTGTAATTTCTGGTGCATTTATTTATGTGCTCCAGCCCCATGTTTTTAAGAATCTTAATGCTCCTTAATGGTAATTGTAATATGTTTTTTTTGTAAACGGTATTGATGTCTCGGTGTTTGTTTTGTCCGATGGGTACATTACAGCTTGTGATGGCTTGCATTGGATGTAATGTTTGTGTATGATAGTGTAATGTGTGCAGAGTGTGAGGGATGCGGAGCAATAAGAACACTATAAAGTGATTTGTCATTTGATGGCTTACTATTCTTGCTGTGCATCATTGTTATAAGGCACTCAGTAGTTGACCTATCAATAACTGGGTGTCATGCTGCCTTCACAGTATCCTAGATAGCTTCTCGCTATTGTATGGCCCCAACACTGATCTTGGCAGTGGATGGCAGGATGTGATACCAGTATCAGCTGGCTGTGTGCTCCAGAATGGCGGTGTGGCAGAAGTAGAACTGCTCCGGAGTCTGTATGCTGAACGCTCTTTGCTTGCGCATTCGTCTGACAGTCTGCGGGATGTTCAGGCTGCCGACGTCCTCCAGCTGGGTCAGGCAGATATCCAGGGTACAGAAAGTACCTAAGAGTAAGACACATATAAGCACAAACTGTATTTTATAATGACCTACTAAAGATCTATTTCTTATTCTAACAGTTCCTCATGCAAATTTTCCTAAATTCCAAAATTTAAAGGACCTATATAGGCACCCAGACAACTTCAGCTCAGTGAAGTGAACTGGGTGCCAGGTCCATCTAGTTTTAACCCTGCAGCTGTAAACAGCAGTTTCAGAGAAACTGCTATGTTTCACTGAGGGTTAATCCAGCCTTTAGTGGCTGTCTCATTGACAGCCGCTAGAGGGGCTTCTCATTGTGATTTTCACAGTGAGAAGACGCCAGCGTCCATATGAAAGCATTGAGAAATGCTTTCCTATGGACTGATTGAATGCGCGCGCGGCTCTTGCCGCACATGCGCATTCGGCGGATGACGTCGGAAGAGGGAGCCCGGCGCTGGAGAAAGGTAAGAATTTAACCCCTTCCTCCCCGTTCAGCCCGGCGGGAGTGGGACCCTGAGGGTGGGGGGGACCCAAAGACCCTATAGTGCCAGGAAAACGAGTTTGTTTTCCTGGCACTATAGTGGTCCTTTAATACCGTGCACGATCTGCATTTCCCAAGGCAATCTTTGAGCCATATTTTGGATATAACTGCACTAGCCTAAAAAAACTGTACTTTAAAAACAGTATTTCACTGCTAGGAATGATTACAGAAATAGGAGTTAGAAGTCTGAAAAAGTGATAGCTGTCTGTTCTGCATATTTTGCAATGCATTTTGGGACACTTGTAAAGAAGCACAGGATTATTCATCAACATGAAAATTTTCATCAGTTCAAATAGAATTTCAAATTTAAAGCCAAAACAGAAAAAGAAAACACAAAGTTGACTTGGAGTTATTTTCTTTTCCGCTTTTGGCTATTTTTATCTAATTTTGAAATCGTTTTTGAACTTACTTTGAATTCATGGCAATTCTTCCCTTGGTGAATAACCCTAACAATCTTTCAGACTTGCTGTGTCTGATGTGGAATTTAAAAGTTAGCTCTAGGATATGCAGACGATTTACAACCGGAATTAGCATTTACTTAAAAATCAATGAGGAAAATGTAGCACGTTTTTTTCTCGCCTCAACTTTAATTTATTAGTAAAACTAGTTTTCTTTTATTCTAAAACAGCAACTAACCTCTGCTCCTGATCAATTACCTGTCCTTCCAATGCCTGCACTGCAATGAACGACAATGGGAGGTCCTCCCGGTGAACCTTTCCAGCGCATTCCAAGGTCACGCACCAGTCTTCTCTGCTCTTTTTTAACAACATCCCGAAAGTGGATGAGTGCGGCAGCAGAGTTAGGGACTCCAAAATCAGGCCAGCTCAGGAACTGCAAGTGGCTTATGATTCGCTTCTCCCGACTCTAAAGTATAAATAAAACACAATGGTGGGATTCACCCAAACACACAGTATACAAAAATGTTAAAACCACTATAATGAATGCAGAGAGGTGCTGGGGATACACACACAAACACACACACAATGAGCCTTACTACACGTCCCTGGAGCCTTACTGTTGGCTACTATCTACAGAGTGCCAATATACTTCTAAGATGGCTGCTGACTCTTTGCCAATTACCTGAATGTCCTTATGGGTAGCACATTTAAAACCCTGTGTGATAGATTGTGGGGTACACCAAGCCAATGATCTGGCATGGAGTGGCTTTTACAGCCATCCACGGCATACACCGACCATGAACCCTTATAAATGTAATTGACACCGCTTGAAAAAAAAGGCAAATCTACCGCTCACCTTGTTATTTTCACCAGCCGTCACCAGTGATGGCTTTAGGGAAATAAAGCTCTTTCTATGGAGAATCCTGTGGTCTTGGGGGATCCTCCACAGACCTCAATTCTGTATTCTTGTGTACCCGCTCGGCACAGGTACCTCCAGTGCCGATTGAGGTCTTTGCAAATTATGCAGAAACCCCAGACAGTGAAAGAGACAGAGACGCTTTAAAATACCCTCACTTATAGCTCCAGCACCAGTCAGGCACCTATCACTCACACAGAGGGACTGTAAATATCAGGAGCCTAAATGGTTCAAAAGTATAGGGCAGCATACTAGCAGCAAGAGGGGATGGAGGAGGGAGGGTTCTGGGTACACCGCAAATCTTATTTAAAGGCTGCAATACCAGCATGCAATGCTCTACATAGTGTAGATGCGCACAAACATAATAATGTGAATACCATGTTGGCATTTTGCATTCTACAGTCCCAGAAACATCACTAGGTCCCCACAAACATTTTAGGTATATGACCAATTACATCAATAATTTTGATCTGGGCTTAATAAAAAACATTTGGATGACACTCAGGTGACTTAAAGGGACATTATAGCCACCAATACAACTTTAGCTTAATGAAGCAGTTTTGGTGCATAGATCATGCCCCTGCAGTCTTACTGATTAATTCTCTGCCATTTAGTTAAATCACTTTGCTGTTTTTCTTTTGCCAATCTTTATTTTATGAAGCTTAGTGTTATAGACATGCTTGTGATGCCACAACAGCAGGAACAAGCTTATGCGTACACTTCAAAATAAACATAGCACTCGAGAAAACAGCTCCTTTTCTGTAATAATAAAAGAATAATTAAAGACAATCTAGGCTAACATGCGTAAAACTGAAAACAGACTCTATAGCTAGAGACATAAAAATCTATCTGGAGAGATAGATTGAAATGCAACCTCAGCATAGAATTGTATATAACAATGAGAGCAATAACAGGGCATATGTCATGCAATGGGTTGTATCAGGCAGTTGCCGTCTACACAGTCTCTCCACAGCAGAGGGCCTTGATGCCAGATGAGCCGATCCCCATAAGCGGTACGGTGGACGTGGAGGAAGAGGAGTCCAGTTGAACAGTTGCAGGGCCTTGCCTGAACGGGGTTCTCCTTCAGTCCCAGGACTGTATGACTGCCTGCATCTTCAATCCATGAACTTGAGCACTCTTAGGAACCGAGTCCTTCCCCCCTGCAGGGTCACCAGAGGATCTAGATGGTGCACACAGCCTTCGGCGTGTGATCCCACATAATTGTGGTGGATGCGAGGAGAGTATGCCTCAAGAGGCTCTGAGCCCAGGCAGACGGGAAGATTATTGCCATCTTGTGTAGGCAGCAAGGTGCGAGACTTCTGGACTATGCCCTGATTCACACAGTAGGTATTGTGCAGGTAGTACAAGGCAGTCTGGTGGGGACCGGGATAACAACAGTCAGTACAAATGGTGGGAAAACGGGACTCAACCATAGCTTTGTCAGTGAGACCCTCCCGCTTTGGCCCATGCTAGGCCACACTGCAAATAAGCTGCAGATGTGTTGTTGCCAGCTCCCTGGTGGCTCGTGGACACAGCTTGATATGCACCAAAGGTTAGAAAGTAGCCAATAAAGTCCAAATATAACTATTTAATTTAATTCATGTGAGGAGCTTACTCTCCATGTGGCTGTCCAGCATGGCGGTCAAGCCCACTGCCTAAATCGCTCTGTTTATGTAGCCCTGGGCACACCTCCCAGCATGACTTGCACAGCTTTCCTAAACACTTTCTATAGAGAGACACATAATGTTTACGTTTCCTTTATTGCAAATTCTGTTTAATTTAGAATTACTGATCTCTTGCTCTGTTAATAGCTTGCTAGACCTTGCAGGAGCCTCCTGTGGGTGATTAAAGGCCAATTTCCAGAGCAGGATATAAAAACTTTTAAAGTAAGTTACACCTGAATTCAAGTGATACCATTTTATTTTCATGCAGGCTGTTTCAGGAGTGGCTAGGACTGCATAAACAGAAACAAAAGTAATTTAACTCCTAAATGGCAGAGAATTGAGCAGTGAAACTTCAGAGCAGTGTTTCCCAATTGGCGTTCCGCGAGAACACAAATGGGGTTCCGCCGTGATTTCCCCAAACAAAACGGCCACTGCAATTATAATCGCAAATCGGGGGCCTGGTCGGGTGCCGCAGCCAGGGATGTATTAGCCGCGTGGCAAACAAGGCATTTGCCTTGGGCGGCATTTTCCAGGGGGCGGCAAAAAAAGCCGCCCCCAAATGCCCAGGGCACGTCTTGTTAGCCTGGCGGTTAACTACAAATCCGGGCGGGCGGCGCTGGTGAGGGAGCACTGATTAGTGAGCTCTCTGCTCAGCTCCCTTGGGTGCCGCAGAGTGATGCCGGGAGCCGGAATATGACATCATATTCCGGCTCCCGGCATCACTCTGCAGCGCACGAGGGAGCTGAGCAGAGAGCTCACTAATCAATGCTCCCTCGCCAGCACCGCCTGTCCGCCCAGCAGCCCCAGTGGACCCCAGGGAAAGGGAGAACCCCCCTAGCATTCCCAAAGGTAAGGAGGCTGGGGGGGGGTTAAATAAAAAAAAAAAAAGTGAGTGTGTTAATGTGAGTGTGTGTCTGTTAGTGTCTGTTAGTGTGTGAGTGAGTGTGTGTTTGTCTGTTTGTGTGTGTGTGTGTGTGTGTCTGTTAGTGAGTGTGTGTTTGTCTGTTAGTTTGTGTGTGTATGTCAGGGAGTGGGTTACTATGTGTGTGTGTTAGTGAGAGTGTATGCATGTCTGTTAGTGAGAGTGTGTCTGCTAGTGACTGTATGTGTCTGTTAGTGAGTGTGTATGTCTGATAGCTAGTGTATGTGTGTCTGTCGGTGAATGTGTGTGTGTGTGTATATTTAGAAGGCGAGGCGGGGGGGAAGGGTGGGCGTCTGAGTTTTGGCAGCACAAAACCAGGATACACCACTGGCCGCAGCCCTTTAAGAGCATGACCGGGCCCCTGTAGTATCAGCCGACTGGGAGTAAGTGATAGCACTTCCTCCCAGCTTCCCAGAGTTGCTGACGCACGGTAGGGAGGGAGGAGACAGGAGACGGCCACCCATAGAGTGAGCAGCATGGATGGCAGAGGAGAGGCTGTCATATTGTGAGTGTGTATGTGCCAGTGTGTGCATGTATAACATACAAAAAATGATTCAGGCACTCCAAGGTTCAGAATGGTAAATTTAATGAAGCCCACAGCAACGTTTCGACCTTATGGTCTTTGTCAAGCATCTGGTTCAGTTGCACCCTGGCTCAGATTGATTGGATCAAGTGCAGTTCCTTATGTTTGTTTGGAAAGAGTGTGTGCATGTTTCACTGTGTGTGCCAGTTATCGGTTTGTCAGTCTGTGTGTATGTATCTGTGTGTCAAGGTGTGTGTATGTGCCAGTGTGTATCAGTGTGTTTGTATGTGCCAATGTGTATGTGTGTGTGTGTGTGTTTATATGACCAGTGGTGTACATACCGGGGTCGCGGCTGCGACCGGGCCCGGCCCCCCTGCGACCTGGGATGTACCCAGTGTGGCCATCCTCTTCTGCTGGGGGGCCCAGGAGCCGGCCACCTCAGGGCCCCCCCTCAGGGCTGGCCCTGGTGTCACCTGGCGGGCAGGCTGTCGCGTGCGCGGGAGCACTCTCCCCTGTGTGCTCCCTCTTCAGCTCCCTTGCACATCGCACTGATGCCAGAGCCTGACGTCATCTTCCGGCTCCGGCATCAGTACGCGGCGCGAGAGGGAGCTGAACAGGAAGCACTCAGGGGAGAGTGCTCCCTCGCGCGCCCGCCAGCCTGCTCACCAGGTGACACCACTGGACCCCAGGGAATCCCCTCAGCACTCCCAAAGGTAGGGAGGCTGGGGGATTAAATTTTTTTTTTTTTAAACGTGTGTGTGTTAGAGTGTGTGTGTGTGTGTGTTAGAGTGTGTGTGTTAGAGTGTGTGTGTGTTAGAGTGAGTGTGTGTGTGTTAGAGTGAGTGTGTGTTACTGTTTGTGTCTGTTACTGAGTGTGTTAGTTTGTGTGCGTCTGTTAGTGAGTGTGTGTCTGTCTGCCACTGAGTATGTATGTCTGTCACTGAGTGTGTCTGTTAGCTAGTGTGTATGCGTCTGTTCATGAGAGTGTGTGAGTGTCTTAAGCACCGGACTCTCTCCGCCCCGATCCACCTCTCTGCTCCGATTGCGCATGCGTGGCAAGAGTTGCACGCGCATTCAAACCGCCCATAGGAAAGCATTACTCAATGCTTTCCTATGGACGTTCAGCGTCTTCTCACTGATTTTCACTGTGAGAATCGCGGAAGCTCCTCTAGCGGCTGTCAATGAGACAGCCACTAGAGGCTGGATTAACCCTCAGTGAAGCATAGCAGTTTCAGCTGCAGGGTTAAAACTAGAGGGACCTGGCACCCAGACCACTTCATTGAGCTGATGTGATCTGGGTGTCTGTAGTGGTCCTTTAAGTGTATGTGTATCTGCATGCACTGGCGTACATACCGCAGTCGCAGGGGTCGCAGTCATGTGTTGCGCACCCAGCCCGCGCAGAGTAAGCGCGTGGGGGGTGGGCACGGATCAGTTTTCGCACCAGGGCCCCTTGGGTTGTGTGTACGCCACTGTATATGACAGTGTGTGTATCTGTTTGTTAAGGTGTCTGTGTGTGTCAGTGTGTGTATCGGAGTGTGTGTGTATTTTTTAGTCAAGATGTGTGTATGTGTCACTGTGTGCATCTGAGTGTGTGTGTATTTTTTAGTCTAGATGTGTGTATGTGTCACTGTGTACATCTGAGTGTGTGTATGTGTATCAGAGTTTCAAGGTGTGAGTGTATTTTTCTATATAAAATGCAAAATAGTCACCATAAAAACACACAATCCAATTTATAGGAAAATCATGAGCTCATTTATAGCCGTGTTATTGATTTTTTTTCCTATTAACACACAGGGTTTGGATTGGGAAGCAGGCTTACTCCGCCATTGTATAGACTAGTTTGGTTAGCAAAGGGTTCATTCTTGTAATATTCTCAACCTACTCCAGTATTGTGGCGTTTGTAGGTACTATAGAAGAAAAATCAAGTCAGAGAGGAGCCATAGAGTGTGAGTGGAGGAGATATAGAGTGTGAGTAGAGCAAAAAGGGGAAGAATGTGAGTGTAGGGTGGAGAACAAGGGAGTACAGAGTAAGGAGAAGTAGGGTGAAGTCGTACCTGTCGTACACTTAACTCTAGGGTGCATTTTCTGTAGTGCTGATGATTCTCAATGGCCTTGTTGCTGACAGTAACAGTTCCATATGTTGCAAGGGTCCCAGGAGACAAGGGCCAGTACTGGCCACACTTTCGATGGCCACCTTCTTCAACCCTACAGTGAGATAAATGTGGAAACAGAAGGAATTAAAGGAAATTATGAATGGGGCACGAGATAGAGTAAAGAATCAGAGAGGAGAGAGGTGAACGAACATTCCACTCTCCTGCTGAATTTCATAACCCAAAAGCCTTTGGTCCCCACCGTTACCTTGTTGTCATAACTATCACCAACACATTCTGTTCCCAAACCATCTGCCAAAAGTCCGGGAATGTGTTCTCCAAAGGTCCTGAGGAAAGAATTGGGCACAGAGCCACACAGTCATAATTACTTGATGTCATGCTTTTAAATTCTAGAAATATATAGACAAACAATAATTATAACCAGCTTGGCCCGAATGCTCTAACATCCTACCTGGGTTACATTTATTTTCCCACATTTAGCTCTGTACGTTAGTATTTGTTTATGTAGGTTGCACTACATGAAACAGAATAAATGTATCATTTTATAGGTCCCAGCATTAAAGCTTAAAGAAACACAAATGTTAAAAACACCATCTAGCACCTCTGGTCCCCATTGCATACAATAATAACTCACTTTATTTCCACTGGCACTGGCTTCGCACACACTCCATCCCTTCACTGACATCAGAATTTATGATCTCAGTCAATCACAATGCTTTCCCATAGGATCTCAGCCAAAGCAGAGCCTTGAATCAATGCGTCTCTTTGAGGTAAGTTCAGTGTTTACATGCAGAGGGTGGAGACACTGAATGTCAGTCACACTGTGCAGCACTGCCTCAGGAAGCACCTCTAGCAGTCATCTGAGTGGCGGCCAGTGGAGGTATCTCTAGGCTGTAATGTAAACACTGCATTTTCTGAAAAGACAGTGTTTACAGCAAAAAGCCTGAAGGTAATGATTCTACTCACCAGAACAAATTCAATAAGCGGTAGTAGTTCTAGTTACTATAGTGTCCCTTTAAAAATATTTAAACTAATATTAATTTCATGTAAAAAATTACTGGGTCATTAGGAGACCACTATGATTAATATGAAAGGTACCTGTCTGATTGACACACATACACACAGTGCAGTTATACCAATGGAGCTCCTTAAATAGATTTACCTTGAGTCCCAATGTACATATTCTTCTGCAAATATCCATCCATGAAGCTAGCATTGATATAGTCGGAGCGCTGAAAAGACATAAGACAGTTGTCATAGTCTTCAATGTGTATGAAGCTAAACAAACCAAATATGCAACTGTGTCTCTGCAGACAAACAAGAGGAAGGAGGTCAGCAGCTGACGATTTCTCTGTTCCAGACACAAGGCTAACAATCTGTCTGCTCCTTTTAATAAGAGATATCTGTGCTTTTTAACAAAGTTTTATAATCACTACAGAGGACAATCCCAGATTTTAAAATGAACCTCTGCTCTATTCAGGGTTTGCACATATTGCAAGGAAGGCATCAAGATTCCTTTTATTCTTAGTTCATTTTTCTAAAGTTCTTTTAAAGCCAGATGGCAGTTTTTGCGCCTAGTGGAATTATTCAGCATATCAAACAAGTGCTGGCAGAGGAGGTAGTAAGGGATAGCAAGATAACTAGTTAAAGGACCACTTCAGCTTAATGAAGTGGTCTGGGTGCCAGGTCCTTCTAGGGTTAACCCATTTTTTCATAATTATAGCAGTTTCAGAGAAACTGCTATAATTATGAATGGGTTAAGCCTTCCCCCAAAGCCTCTAGTGGCTGTCTCATTGACAGCCACTAGAGCGCTATGCTTCTCACTGTGATTTACAGTGAGAGCACGCCAGCGTCCATAGGAAAGCATTGTAAATGCTTTCCTGAGACGGCTGAATGCGCTACCAGCTCTTGCCGCTGCGTGCGCATTCAAGGCGGGCGTAACGGAGGCGGAGAGGAGGAGGAGAGCTCTCCGCCCAGCGCTGGAAAAAGGTAAGTTTTTACCCCTTTCCCCCTTCCAGAGCCGGGCGGGAGGGGGACCCTGAGGGTGGGGGCACCCTCAGGGAACTATAGTGCCAGGAAAACGAGTATGTTTTCCTGGCACTATAGTGGTCCTTTAAAGCAGCACGGTCTCACCAAACTTACCTTTCTCCTATTGTTTCCTATTCTCTTTCTCTCACGAAATCAATGCTTTTTTTTCTTCCTTTCTGATCTAGTCTTCCTTTCCTGTGTCAAAGAAAGCTCTCCCACAATACTCAACCTCCTCCGTGATCTTGCGTTGCTTCTATCGATGTGACCGAACATCCTGTTATAGAGACAGGGCATAGCACTAGGGAATGCCAGGGACTGAGTACCCAGAAAATGTAGTGCGAGTGCATCGTTATAGGTACTAACACTCTGCTGTCAAGGTATTCGGCCATTGTCTGAGCGCTCACAGAAGGACTGGCCAGAGTGTCTGTCAGTCAGCGTGGCTTCCATTCATGACAGGCTGACATGGCTCTGTTTACAGGTGGGCCTGTCAGCACACTGACCGCAGTCCACTCTTTAAAATACTTGGCTATGATATTAGACCCCAATCTATCTTTTGGCCTGCACATAGAAAAGCTTGCATCTAAACTTTATCCAAAACTAGGTGCCCTGTACAGAAACAAATCCTGTCTAAGCCCTACAGTAAAGGAAAAGATTGTACTGCAAATGCTGATGCCAATCATTGATTATGGGGATGTAGTATATGCATCTGCATCGCAATCCCACATTAATAAACTCAATACATTGTATAACTCGTTCTGTCGATTTGTGCTACAATGTAATTACAGGACCAACCATTGTGACATGCTAAAAGAACTAAACTGGCTGTCGCTGGAATCCAGACGCACCCTTCATCTTTCCAGCCTTGTGTTTAAGAGCTTTTCTGGGAAACTTCCACCCTACCTGAACACAATGCTTTCCTCAGCTATTCCTACCTCCTATAACCTCCGATCCAGTACCAGCACTTTATTTAGTCTACCAAAAAGAAAGCAGCCCGATCCTCCTTTTCCTACAGAGCACCGCAATTATGGAACAACCTCCCACACACTCTCAAATCTTCCCAAGCCTAAAGTCCTTTAAGAGATCCCTCTCTACATATCTCAAAACAGAATGCACCAGTCATGATTGATTATATATTTCCTACCTGTTCTATGTTAAATTTTGTATTTATTGTGTATTAATATTGATTTTGTATTTTATTGTACCCTATTGTATCAATGCAATGTTTTGTGGACCCAGGACATCTCAATGTATCTTTCCTGGTAAAATATTTTATAAATAAATAAATAGCTGGACCTGCACATCGTGTGTTACTGTCCAGCCACCCCGTGGCCTGCCCAACCCCCTCCCAAATTCATAGTTCTCAATGTTAGGAGGTATGAATCTCTATTAGACAGGAAGAAGAATATCATCCAGGCACAAATTTATTGGAGAATCAAAACCAAAGCAGCAACGTTTCGACCTACAACGAGGTCTTTGTCTATGTATGGGGCATGCCAACCCCGAGTTCTGCATATAGGACTACTCAGTTAAAGGAGTCCAGACTCTCTCCTCTTTGAAAATGAATCTTTATTAGATGCAGATCTGTCTGTCACCGCTTCTCTCTATATAGAATACACAGCCATCTGCCACTTTGTTTCTATAATGTTTCAGTATATGTACCTCTATCTATTAGATACGTGGCTATCTTCCCTGTCTAGAAGATGTACAGCTATCTGGCACTGCTTCTCTTCATATGTTGGATGCACATTGGTTTTACATGATGAACACTTTTAAGAAAGGATGTTTTATTGTGATATAAAAATTAAATTAGAAAACATACTTTTATGTCTTGAAAAAAAAGGCATAGGATGGTTGAACCAGTTTAAGCAATTTAAGCTTCCAGTATATTCAATTTTAAATAATATTAGTGTTTCTGCATGTTAATGGTGTGTCTGGTAATCGATTAGCAATTTAACCTGATAACGTTGGCTAAACATTACACTACACTTGCAGCTCACCCAAGGGGGTCCTGTATAACTAATATTTGGCTTTGGCTGGTAGACTGATCGACTCATTTATCCACACCAGGGTTAGTCAACTAAAAATTATTTTTAAGACAAATAAACAGCTTTTACATCTACTTTTACACAACGCGCAGATTGTGCTCTGACATTTATCTACAGTACACACGGGTTATTCTTTATAATGTCAATTTTTACGCCAAAATAAAAACACAGATGATTAAAAAAATTTCGAATTTGCTTTTTTGGCTTAAAATGTTAAATTCGCTTTAAATTCCAGAGATAGATTAGATAGACAGACAGAAAAAAAAAAAAGGAGATGGAAGGGGCAACATTAACCAATAAATGATCCAAAATTGAAACTTATAGTTTAATAGATAATTGTAAAAAATACAAATAGGACAGTGAACAAAACAAACAGCACACTCTATAGTCTAACTATGTATAAACTAAAAAAGACACTTGTGAAGATAAAAAAGAAACATATATACAGATGAGCAGGCTGCGATCGGCTAATAGATATGTGTAGTTAAATGACTGCAGTTAGCTCAAAGGTGTGTGTATATAGGATAAATAGTGTATATGTTAGGGGTAATGAAGTAAAACCTGGTAGAAACTTCACCGACATGTATAGGCAGAAAAATACATATTGTAAGAACTTTCCTGCTAGATAGTCCTGTAAAGCTTTGACTAGTACGGCGGGGTGCCCAGGTTTAATGCTGTGGGTATTAACCTGAACTGGTATTAACAATAGATCTGAAAGAAGTTGAGAGAAGCTGTTTGCTCTCGGATAGTTTGCTATACAGCTATATAGGGTGATCGCCACTACGGCAAAGTTACAATTGTAACTATCAAACTGTGTTAAATATATATTGTGGCTTGTGTAAGTGATATGTTCATAGCTACAATAGTGATCTTAGTAGAAAATGATAGATATCCTATCCAAATACTAAATGTACTCAGTATTAAAAAGGTAGTACAGTAATCGGTACCAGACTCAACGGCAAAAGGTTAACTCTTACGGTGCTATGCTCACTTTGGATAATCTTTACTAGCTAACTGCTGTAACTCAGATTGCAAAGATAGAATGTAGGTAAATGCCACTATAAATTTACAGTTGTCCAGCATTAGGAGTTTTGGAAATCTATGATTTAACCCCCGGTCTTCCTAGCCGTGAAGAGATGATAAAATCTGTCTAGTATATTTGGAATGGACTGATTTTATTATAAGGTAACTTCATTCTGGTGAAATATCCCCAAAAAGCCTGGGACGTAATTCTGGTATATACTATGCTCTTTTGTTAGTTGTTAGCCTAGTTCAGAGATTTGCTATATTTCGGTGAAATACCTATAGGCACCATGCTTCATAGTCTGTCTGCTAATACTGTTCTAGAATAACTGCATGGCAGTTTGATACCCCTAATCACCCTAATAGATAGACAGATATATATTAATGTTATACACGTATGAACACAGCTTAGTCGGTTTCTTTTTTTAATACGTACAGATATCTCTTACCTTTCCCAATGTAATATGCATATTTCTCTATACCATTAACATGTTATGATATGATTCCGGTCATTACTATACCTACAGACTCTACTGAACTAAAAGTAGAAGAGAAATGGTTTTATATTATACCTCATGCCAGTTCACACGTTTAAGTTTAACGCGAGTTTGGTCCAGGCATGGAACATCGCCGTAACGATTCCTATCACGATTAACGGCAGCTCTAGTATAAAGAAGAGAAAGGCAAAAATAAATTACAAAATATATATATCTATACAGCTATCACACACACATATTATTATCCAGTCTTTGAAACTGCCATGGAGGACTCTGACCTTTATAAAATCTCTTCAACTAGGTGGCAGTTCTGTTTCAATCACCACAGAAAAAAAGATATTGGAGCATTTACAGGGGTAAGGTGGGGAAAGTGAGAGCAGGTAATTATAACGCCCAATTAGTTCAGTGCAATGGAAACTCAGAATCCACTCCGTAATGCGGAGAACACATGTATATGTTCATTGTCTGGTACACAGAACCGTGGGATTCCAAAGTTTTGCATCATATGCCAGGTAGTGCCTCTGATACTATGTAAATCTAAATTTAAAATAAAACACAAAGATCAATGTCTTCCTACCTAACTAACAAACACACACACACACACACACACACAAAAACAAAAAAACCTTCCTGTTTCCAATACACTCACAGTGATGTACTGAAAGTCCCCTCGGGCTGCTCTTTCCTAAGATCGTCATATTCTTCATAAATTCCACGTCTTCCCACAGAGATAATGTGTTCTTTAAGTTGAGCCAGGGTTATCCCACCAGGACCTGGCCTATGTACACTTCCTTCTGTCTTGCTTCCAAGCACTAGCACAAGCTCATCAAGGGGGTCCGGCCTCCCAGCACGGCCTGGAAGAAGGAGACAATTCCAAGTGCCGGGATCCCATGGAAGAACACCTCCTAGAGATTCAGGAAGGCACTGAGGAGGTAAGTGTTGAAGAAGTTCATTGACACTCACCATGTGTACCTGCAAGAAATTAAAAGACAATTAATTTTGGATGATTTTTAAAGGTTCATACAAGATCATTAAAGGTTCATAAAGTCCACTACAACTTATTGTAATGGTTATCTTGCCAGGAGTCTGACAAAACTTCTACTATATCCTGCACATCCTACCAAAAAAGGCAAACTGAGATAAAGACAGCGTGTTATGAGATAGAGGAACATCTTCATAAAGAAACCGAGATATGGCCTACACATTCTACCTGGAGACAAAAATCGGTGAAAATACATATTTTCTTTAGGGACTTAATTCACTGGACTCTTTTGTCACATAAGTTAAATTACACATGTAAATAAACAGACCAGAGAACATTTTTAGAGGCATTTTATTGTGCATTTCCTATACAGGTAGTTCCCGACTTTACAAACTAATTGGTTCCGAAGCCTAGTTCATAAAGTGAGCGTTCATAAAGTGAGAACTAATTTCCCATAGACCGCAATGTAATAAACATGGGTTCCGTTCCTGACCAACAAATTTTACCATTAAAAACCTAAATTATTAAGTACAAATACAATATGAAAGCATAGCAAATACATGTATGTTTTAGGAATTTTAAAGGCATGCATACCATATTGAAATCTTCATCAAAATTATCACCAATCCTCATTCTATTCAATGAAGAGACATGCTGCACTTGTTTGATGGGGGCACCTCTCTTAAGCCCTCCTACTTATTAATTTTCTTCATTATCAGCTTCCCCCTCTCCTTTATCACTTTTCTGCTACTCATTTTATTTTTACAGCTCTCAAACTTTCTTCCTTCTACCCTTTTTCAGCCCTCCTCCTGCTCCTTACTATTGCTGCCTGCCAAAACATGGCACAATGGCAAACACACATACACACAGACAGCTATGTCAGACACACACAGACAACTCAAGTCAAATCTATACTCAATAGCACACAGTGCAATAATATTACAGGCTCTAAAAGCATGAAAGCACAAAAAGAATACAGTACAATCTAAACCTGTTTTTTTAGATTTCCCTTTATCTTCAGGAACTGTGTTCCTGATCCTCATCTCTCTTTTTGTCTACTCCTGACCACAAATTCATCTTCTTCTCTTCTTGTTTGTGCTTCAAAGCAATGCACTCTCATGGCGGTGAAACAAAATGGCGGTGAAACAAAATGGCAGCGCATCCAGAAAAAAGTTCATAAAGGCGGGAGTTCATAAAGTAAGAAATGCCTGTATAGTAATAAAATAAACTCACCCTCTCTCGTAGCTTCTCCTTCAACAACATGCTGATAATGGAATAAGGAACTCGGAACCACACTGGCGGTGAAACAATCAGGACCTTCTTCAGACGTGCCGGGAATGCACCCTACAAGCACAACAAGGTTACTAGCTAGACAAGCAATATGAGATTCACAAATCTCAGCAGTCTACAAGTGGGCAGGTATATTGGAGGAGGCAACTGTGCTCCACTTGGACATTACTTGGGATTCCATGCATAGTACATCAATGGTAATTTTCTAATGAGTGAGTTGATGTTAAATCAAAGTGAATTTAAAAAATTTAGCCAGAAGAGCAAAATTGAAAAGAAATTATTCAATATTTGTTTCAATTTGTCTAAGAATTCACACTTTAAAGGAACACTAGAGGGTCAGGAACACAAAACATGTATTCCTGAACGTGTAGTGTTAAAAACACAATTTAGGTGGCTTGCCCCCCCTTAAGCCCTTAAGGACCAAACCTCTGGAATAAAAGGGAATCATGACATGTCACACATGTAATGTGTCCTTAAGGGGTTAAAAGGTAACAAAATGTGCCTTCTTTCCAGCAGGGGGTGCCAGCACTGGTCCCACCTCCGATCCGCCTTCTTGCTGACATCAGATCTTATGATTTTTAGACAATACCCATAGGGAAAGCATTGGATTGGCGGACATCTGCAAGGAGGCGGGATTGGTGGGGCCAAACGCCAGATTGGCCAATCAGCACCTTTTCGTAGAGATGCATTGATTCAGCGTCTCCATGCAGAGCGTGGAAACACTGAACGGCAGTGCTGCACACTGTGCAGCACTGCCCCAGAAAGCACCTTCCATAGCCATCTTAGAAGTGGCCACTGGAGGTAGAGATAAAACACTGCATTATCTCTGAAAATATAGTGTTTGCATGAAAATGCCTGTAGGGGATGCTTATACTCACCAAAAATACATTAAACTGTAGTTGTTCTGGTGACTATAGTGTCCCTTTCACAAATAATAATATGGTCAGGTTTAAACAAGGAATTGTAAGGACGTGACAAGGGAATTTCCTACTCCACTATTTTTGACTAAAATTGGAAATTCCCTGGTCAGCATCTGGATTAGTGAATACGCCTGACTTTCTGTATGTTAGAATAATGGGAAATCTAGAAGGTGAATGAGTGCGTTAAAAATCATACCTTTTGATAGCACATTTTAAACAGTAGTCCTGTTCATTCTGCCACTAGGAAGACTCAGACTTATTGCACTACTTCACTCTTCACGAACAGGTAAAACCCATTCCAGCTTCATAACGGTTTTATTACAAATTAAATGTCAGGATTGACAGAAAATGCTAAATGTTCAATATTTGTGAAGATTTTCCTCCCTTACCTTGATAGGGTAGGCAATGCTGGACCTGTCACCTTTTCTAACCCAGCAACTTTGTATTAAAATTATCAATTCCATTGATTCTGCACAATTCACAGCTTAGTGAATAAACTCCACTGTGTGTTTATTATTCAAATAGTATAATTGGTTTGACGATAAAGAGGCTTTGGTTTTCTTCCTTCTTATGTCTGCTGTACTCTATTCCCTCACCTGTCCTGAGCTCACCTGTCCTCTTACTCCCCCTTCTGGAACAACAAGGATACATCAGTTTGCACCAAAGACGTGGAATAAATTCAGGGGTAAGAATTATACCTCTTATAAAGCCAAGTATTATAATTAACGAAAAATTTGCTGTAGTTGGTTGATGTCTCTGGCTTTTATATTTAGTTAGTATGACCATGCAGCAATCTAGTGGTTTGTGTCTGAAATCTCCCTGGATTACAGTTATTACTTTAAAAAAAAGCCATGATCTCTAGATCTCATATTTTCTATAGGTCGTCCGATCAATAAAGTGCTTTAGTACATATTTCTTTTTATTCTACAATTGATTTCCTTCCCTATACAGCCTATCCCATTGAACAGCGCGACGGAATTTGCCGGCGCTATATAAATAAAAAAATAATAATTATAATCTGTTTCCCAACATTTCATGCTCCCTTTCAGATCTTTAGAACATTTCAAGCCCAAAATGCTTTCTTATGATACTGTTGCCAGTAAAATACCATTAAACATATACATTATCTTCATCTAATTCCAAACTATGGGCAGCTCGAGGGATGGAAAACTCACTCACTCTCAGAAGGCTCAGGATTTTTTTGCTCAGGTCCAGTTCAAAATTGCTGTACTGGCTGCCTCCCATATCGTAGACGAACACCAGGCCATTTCGCTGTGTGTCAACACTAAAATGAAACAGAATTTTGTTATTTTATTATGGATAAAACACCATTTGCCTATTAGTCCAAAACAAAATAGCTGTCCAAGTGGTATTTATCTACAACTTATATCACCCACTTTTAATCCCTTAGGGTGAAATGACACTTTATCCAGTCTCTAGTGTCACATGTGGGGGGGAAGGGGAGGGGTTCAGCCAGTACTCTAGTATCAGGGAGTCTGGGAATGTGTGTCATAAGAGGGGCCAACCATTTGATCTGTAATGGGACCCCAAGTGTTTTTATGGCAGCCCTGGCCACCACCAAAATCTGGTCCTTAACGTCCCTGTGCTGGTGTAGAATTTACTGCTTTTAAATGAGTGGGACATTCCATTTTCATGAAGGATCTCTAAAGGGTAGAATGTTGTAAATTAATTTTTCCATTGTTGGTTCTGATGTCAACTGTGATTTCTAAACTACTTGCAGCAATTATCCAGGCACTAAGTGTCAATACTAACACGACATATAATATATTAACACGTGACTCTGGCATTTTACGGCAGTGACACCTGTTACCCAGCTTACAGAGTAAAGTATGCCCAGCAATCAATGGCAGCTTTTATACACGGTCTAACATGACAGCTGTAGCTAATACCATTTATTGCAACTACTGTTGAAATCCTTGGTGGAGGTTTAGCTTTCTACATTCATGGAAAAATGAGTTACAGTTGTATACTGTAAGTCTTGAAATAGATATAGAGGATATCTATGTTCTCTCTATGCTGACAGAGAGGTGCAAAGACAGAGCTTATAACAAAGACGGAATTTGAGCTAAGATGGAATCGCTCGGTTCCAGGATAGCGTAGTGTGGGTTTCTACTTTCAGTTTTATTTAACTAGTTAAAGAGGCTAGCGACTGACTAAAACACGTGTGGTGATGCCAGATTAACAACCTGCAGTTATATCCTCCATAGAAGCAGCACTGTCAACCAGAAATGACACAGTAAGCACAGACTATATTTTACAGATGGGGTTTCTATAATGCACGTGATGTTAACACAGCAAAGGTCACTTCCTGTTGAGAATAACTCACAACCACAGACATTTCGAAGCAAAATATATGGTTCAACTTTCAGCAGTGAAATTAGAATCTGAATGGGGCACAGGAGGGAGGGGGGGTCAATTCAAGTCAATTGTGACTCACTTAATTCCTGTCTGTATGACTAGCACCAACACTCAACGAGCTCCATTTACTGCAAGTCCTCAGGTCTTTTTTTTTTTTTTTAGTTAATCTATTTTTATTGGGTTTTCAGAACTGACCACATGTTTGACAATGAAGCATGTGACAATACAAATAATGTAACAAGTATCAAATTCCAAGGCGGATATAGCAATACTCAATAAAAAGAAAAGAAAAGAACATGGATGAATCCAAACAGAGAACCGGTACTGAAAAACCAGGAACATCAAGCTGCCTATAGCCTCAGGATTAATATTGTTTTTTTTTTTTTTTATAAATTCTTTATTTTTCAAGTTTAGATGAGGTAAAGGGTACAGAATAGAGGTAGGGGTAGGGTAGCAGTGTTATTCAATAAATTTTCAGTTTCGTTTCATTTCTATGGTATTAGTACGATTTATTGCGAAACCTCATATCAGTCTTCTGGGTTGAGTGGTTCAGTTTTTGTATGTCTCAGGTGAAGGTTACCACTTGGTTTTGGGTCTTGTCGTCTTTGCCTCTGAGAGCGTGTGTGGCTCTTCCTGTGTTGTGTTCGTCAGGTTTGTGTCTCTTTCGGTTGTATTTGGGTCTGGGGTTTGGATTGGCATGTCTGTTTTGTGTGCGGGTGCGGTCAGTGCGGGAGTTTGGTGGTCTCGACCCATGGGTGGTCGTCTTGTTTAGGCTGTAGATGTGGAGGGTTACCAGTGTGGTGAGATCCGAGTCTACGCCTAGTGCCTGAGGTTGTTCCCTTATATTTGTATCTGTTGCTGGCGATCATGTTGTACGAGGTGTGGTATTTTGTTTTATGTTGGGTGAGTTCCCTAGTCTTGTGTTTATGCTTTTATTTGTGAGGTTGGTGTGGGGGGATCTGTGTAGGGTGTGGGAGGTTGGGGGGACCTATGGGGTCCTAGTGTGCTATCAGTAGGGGGTCTATTTTTTTGGGGGGGGGGGGAGGAGGAGGAGGAATCGCGGCTTGTTCCCGGGTCCTCCGCTTATGGTGCCTGTAGGTGGTGTTGGGTCCATGGGTCCCATATCTTGTGGAAGTTTCGTGTTGTGTCGTGTAGTAGGGCTGATAGTTTGTCCATTTCCATTGTTTCTTGTGTTTTGTTGATCATAGTGGTTAGTTGGGGTGTATTCTGATTGCCCCATTGTTCTGCTATCGTCCTTCTGGTGGCCAACGCTAGTCTGGCCACCAGTTTATTCTGCGCTCTGGTGAGGGGGGGTGAGGTTTAGAGAGCAGCCATATCCAGGGGTCTCTTGGTATGTCTGTTTCTAATATGTCTGACGCGAGCGTGATCACTCTTTCCCATATTTGTAGGACTTGGGGACATTCCCACCAGGTGGATATATGTGCCCTTCTGTGTGCAGCCTTTCCAGCATGTGTCTGTGGTGGCGAGGCCCATTTGTTTCAGTCTGAGCGGCGTGAGGTACCATTTGAGTAGGGTTTTATAGGCTTGCTCTTTAAGGTTAACGCAAATGGTAAGCGAAGCCGTGGCTTCCCATATGTCTGCCCAGTCTGTGGGGTCTGCAGGGGGGCCTATATCTCTTTCCCAAGCCTTGGTGTAGAAGAGAGCGTCCTCTGGGGAGTTTGAGTTTAAGAATGAGTATATTTTTGTGATTTGTCCTTTCTGTATGGGTGCGTGGAGGCATGTTTTTTACAATTGCGTTGGTTTGGTAGTGGCGGCTGCCCTATTTTGTGGTTCGTTGAGAAAGCTGCGAATCTGTATGCAGCGGAAGTGATCAAATGTGGTCAGGGGTGTGGATTATTTTATTTTTAATTAATCGTCAGAGCCATTTTGCTATAACATATGTGTCCAACAGGTGAGGAGGTGTTTGCAGAGAGATGGGGTTATTGTTATGGCATTTTTTTAATGTAGAACATTCTCAGAACTGTAGGCTATTCTGTAAGGGGAACACATTACATGATTTGTCATACTGGTTATAGGATGCTCACCTCTCTATGGCACGGTCCAGTAAGTAGAAGAGCGCTTGAAGCACCGTATGCTGGACCTCTCTGCTATTCTTACTTGCTGGATGGTGGAGTTTGGCAGTAAAGATGGCTATAGAAGCTCCAGAGGGAGCCCTGACACTCTAGAATAGAGACAAACATGCAATCAGAACCAGCTGGAATGTCTACAGTGATCTCCCCACTCGTTAAACAGAGAATTGTGGGAGCAGGCAACAGATATATACTATGTAATATTATGTATACACTACAGACAGAATTTTGCTCAATTAATGACCGACTTACCACAACTCGCTGTTGATAAAGGGACCATGAATTGTGGAGACAAGAAATTTGCATATTTTCCAAACTGTAATTTTTTCCCCCCTATTCACTTCTTTTGTCTAAAATATATATTCCCCTTGAGTATCCTTTGCTTAGTTAATAGAGTTAAAGACATCACAACCCTGTAAAATGCATTAAACTGCATATTTGTGGGAATGTCACCTATTAGATCAGTAGATTCCTACAATATTACGACATACCATGAAAATTATCCTATTACTTTAAGAAAATTTCCATAATATATGTGATAAACACGGATAATTTCTATTCAAAAGATCGACCTATATTCAAGAGAGTGAATTTAATTAAATTTATTCCAAGGGTTGGAAAGGGTCGATGGTTAACCCCCCCCCTTTGTGCCAGTAACTACGAGATCCTCAGCTTCTTACCAGCACTGTAAATTTGCCACTCAGCAGCTCGGACAGCAATGGCTCCTGCAGAGGATTCAGACGTACAATCCCCTCTCTCTGCCGAGTTTCCTGTTGGTAGGAAGGTGTGTTTTATCAACAGACACTGTATACACAGAAAACACAGCATAAATATAATTACAGCTGCACGGTTTATACATAACACAAGTTTCATAAATGAAATGGGAAATGAAAATCGATCACACGACTTATAGTCACTCGTAGCCCTGCAAACTATGCATTGAACAATAGGTGCTAAAATAAATAAATAGAATGAAAAATAAGGGACTAATTCCTATAAAGATGAAAATTATATAGGTGACAGATCCATTAGAGGAGGGGTAGGCAACCTCGGCACTCCAGATTTTGTGGACTACATCTCCTCTAATGTTTTGCTCAGTATTATGGCTCTAAGAGAATTATGGGAGATGTAGTCCAACATCTGGAGTGCTGAAGGTTTCTGAGCTAGAGTATATGTGGTGCTCACTCTGTATGAATGGAAGAGCTCAATTGCTCGAACGACATCAAACTTTCGCGCCATCAGGAATTTAACTGCAACATCCCAAGAGAGAGGGGACACAGAGTGACAGGATGTCCATGAATTCATCTCCTGCAGGAACCGCTGAGTGGCCTAAGAAACAAGGGGTTGGGTAGAGAATAAACACTATCAACAAAAACAAATATAACAAAAAAAGAAGAGTGACCTAGTAAAGGAAAACTGATGCCGGGTGTAGTGAAGTATAAAGTTAAGATACAGAAAAAGAAGAGTAGAGAAGAGAAGAAAGATTTAAAATTGGCATTTGTATTTTGTGTCCTAAATTAGAACATGCTAATAAATTGGATACATAGCTTACTCCTAGATGGAAAGGACACTCCTAGCACCATAACTACTACAGTATGCTATAGTGTTTATCATGCAATGAGTGCCCTAGGACTGTGCCAGAGTAAAATTCCAAACCATGTTATCACAGATTGACAGCCTACCTGGGTCCTGCACGGCATCTGCCTCATCCTGTCTTCTCCAATAGGACAAGCCAGATGAGGTTTTAGAGTAAAGCAAATAGATGCAGGGCCTGGATCATTGGTTGGTACTCTCAGCCAATGATAGCGGTCCTGCTTTACTTTAAAGAGACATTCGGCTTTGCATGCTGGAGAAAATTGGACTTCATTGATGTTGTGCAGGCACCCAGGTAAGTTGCCATAACATCATAGCATGGCTTGACAACTTACTGAGGGAAGGCACCATAACCACAAGAGCAGGCAAACCAGACAGAGAGAACAGTAAAAGAACAAAGAAAGTGTGGAGGAAGAATTAAGGAGGACAGATAAGTTATTTTGAATTACAAGAAAGCGTAAAAAAATAAGAGTGAAAAATGATAAGAAGAAAAGGGTATGGAAAAAGAAAAAAAGAAAAGAGCACAAATATGGACGGTGTACTGCAGTCAAAATAAGCAGTACGACAATAACAAGAGTACAAATTTAACAAAACTTAAGGATCAAGGGTAACTAAAAGGGTCAGCGAATATAAAAATAAAGAGAAGGATAAAAGGGAAGGATGGGAAAAAAAAAAAAAAAGGAATTAAAAAATAAACAAGGAACAAGTACACACATCCATGCATAAATATATTGCTACTCTTATTGCAAAAAAAATACAAATTATAAAAATTTTAACCAACTGCTTTTATCTACCTGCGTTAAAAATACAGAACATTTATGAAAAATAATGCATATTACAGGATTACGGATACATTTTAAGAAAAGATGCAGAATGTTTGTTTTTTTCTTTCCCTATATTCATCATACATTGTAAAATATTTCTGGTCATTTAAATGCAGACATAATCCATTTGTTTCAAAACTATCTATACATCTAAAATCTAGATATACCATCAAGTGCACGAATGCATCGTTTCCAAAGATACGTTACCTGCTCCTCCTCCTGTGTGAGTAACTCTGCCATGCTTGCTTGCATTCCCAATCCCAGGTCTTAGGCTGTACTCCAGGCTGGGGATCCTCCAAGGCCTACAGTCTGGCTGGGCCTTTCTGGTAGTTGTGCATTCTAATCCAAATCACACAGTCTGACATTAAAAAAAAAGAAAAAAGTGTTTTAGACGGTGACTGCAAAAAGCCAAAAGAGGAGGGGGGAAGTTGGTCAGAGATTTAATTTTAACGTTTTATTAGATGGGGTGGAGGACAAGGAAGCAGTCATAAAAACACACACAGAAAGTCACAGACCCCCTCTAGTGGCATCCATTTATTCCTACAAGTTCAAATTTAAAGAGAAATTATACCAGATAAACAAATGAGGCATTGGCAATAGTATTCAGTAAAGTGTGAATTGTGAGACGTGCAAAGTGATTTCAAAGTGCGTTTCAGTCCAAAATAGCCAAATGGAAGAATTTTTGAAGTTAGTTGCCTGTTCAGCACAGCCATATTGCCCTAAACTGTGAAATTCACTTAGATTTTCTGATAATTCACTCTTGTGATTAACCTGGTGAGAAAGCTGCTTATTATATTTATAGAAAGATAAAATGACCGCAGATTAGCAGAAATAAATGATGTACAATAAAAAGAGATGAATAAAAAATAACCAGTGTGGCAGTTTTGGGACAATCTAACTAATTCTGTTATTTTTGTTAAGAACAATTGCATGGTGGCCAGTGTATTGATTTGCGCTTGGCTAGGGGAAGGAGAGGGAAAGGGTTTTGCTGTCAAACAATGTTATTCACTAAAGTGAGGATTGTTGGTAATTCAATGTGAATTTCAAATTCAAGGCCAAAATAGCCAAACTGGAAAAAAATTCCAAGTCAGCAATCCTACCAGGTCAGCTACTTGGGCCTTTAATTTGAATTCAGGTCAAATTTCACTAGTGGATAATACTGATTATGTGTGCGTGCACTGCAAGCAAGTCATTGGGTATTCAGGGGGTTTCGTAAGGGCAGGAGGAAATTAAAGGGAGAAGAAAAAAGGTATGAATACATTATCATATGCGGAGCCTGAAAGGGAAAAATAGAATCGAAGAATTCACAGGAGTTGAAAATGAGGGCTGCGTTTGAAAGAAGAAAAAAAAAAAAGCAAGGTAATAAGATGCTGATAATGAAAAGTAGTTAGAGTGGGAAAGTTGGTGCAGGAGGGAAAGTGCGGCATGATAAGTGCTACAAGAAGAATCTTTTCACATTTTCCACAACACAATGAACAAATGGTAACATTTTCCGTTTCATGTATTTTTTTTTTAAAGTGTATCATCATTGGCAGTGATTTGTAAATATTTATATTTAAAGCTCAAACGATCGAATCCTACACTACGAATGCTACACTACTAATCAGGCCACTGCAAGCCGTGGAGGGTCCATGCCACACCTAATCACCAATAGGGAGCAGCAAGTGGAAATGTCGAGCCCTCTATTATCATGATCTGCGGATTACATAAAACACAAAAAGCAGGGAGAGAAGTGGGTTAGATATCATTTTATCAAGCATGTTACATGCAATGTTATGTCAGAATGTGAGGGGGTATCAGCTTGAAAAGTATGATAGTTATTCAGTGTCTTTATTTTATTGATTATGCTAAGCTAAGCCACTGGCATATCTTGTGTGATTTGTGCCTTTAAACAGTGATGTATGTGAGTGTTATGTCTGCGGAGGGAGGGGCTGTGTGTTTGTGTGTGTAGTGGAAACTGAGTGTGGTGTGTTTAATATGCTACCCTCCTTACCTAAGCCCATGCCCTATGCAGCTGCCTAATAGGTAATCAGGCTATGTGTCTGTCAGTGAGTCCCTGAAATGATTGCATAGTTAGTGAAATAACGGGAGTGGGTTCAGGGAAGACAATTCCACCACAGCTATTCTAGGTATGCCTATGCATTTAAAGGGCAGCAGTTTTGGTGTATAGAACATGCCCCTGCAGTCTCACTGCTCAATCCTCTGCCATTTAAAAGTTAAATCACTTTGTTAATGCAGCCCTAGTCGCACCTCACTTACACAACCTTCCTATACACTTCCTGTAAAGAGTCACCTAATGTTTACTCTTCATTTATTGCACATTCTGTTTAATTTCAAATTTATTATGCCCTGTTCCAGTGGCGTACACATGACCCATGGGGCCCCGGTGCAAAAATTGATCCGTGCCCCCCCCCCCCACGCGCTTACTCGGCGCGGGTCGGGGTCGCAACACATGGTGGCGGGCACCTGGTCGCAGGGGTTGCAGGGCTGCGACCCCGCGACCGCAGTATGCACACACACTTAAAGGACCGCTACAGACACCCAGATCACATCAGCTCAATGAAGTGGTCTGGGTGCCAGGTCCCTCTAGTTTTAACCCTGCAGCTTGAGTAATGCTTTCCTATGGGCTTTTTAAATGCGCGCGCGCACCTCTTGCCGCGCATGTGCATTTCGGAGCTGAGTGGCGGACACTGGGGAGTCCGACGCTGGAGAAAGGTAAATGCTGAAGACACACACACACACTCTCACGAACAGACGCATACACACTAGCTAACAGACACACACATTTACTGACAGAGACACACTCAGCGACAGACATACATACACACTCACTTACAAAACACACACTCACTAACAGACAAACACACTCAGTAACAGACACACACAGTAACACACTTACTAGCAGACACACACCCAATAACAGACACATTCACTGACACACACACTAACACACGCACTAAAACAAACACTGACACACTAACACACACACACACTAACACACACACACACACAAACACACACACACTCTAACACACACACACTCTAACACACACACACATACACTAACACACACATACACTAACACACACTAACACACACACTAACACACACATACACTAACATACACACACACTCTAACACACACACACACATATACACTAACACACACACACTCTAACACACACACACACACACATACACTAACACACACATACACTAACACACACATACACTAACACACACACACACTCTAACACACACTAACACACACATACACTAACACACACATACACTAACACACACACTTATTTTTTTCAAATTTAATCCCCCCAGCCTCCTTACCTTTTGGAGTGCTGGGGGGATTCCCTGGGGTCCAGTGGTGCTGCTGGGCTCCTGGGCGGCAGGTCACTGGGTGGGCGGGCTGCAAGGCCGGCCGGCTGGCCGGCCGGCGCGCGAGGGAGCACTTTCCTCTGTGTGCTCCCTCTTCAGCTCCCTCGCGCGCCGCATAGGGATGCCGGCGCCGGAAGATGACGTCATCTTCCGGCTCCGGCATCAGTGCGGTGCGCGAGGGAGCTGAAGAGGAAGCAATGAGTGCTCCCTCGCGCGCCCGCCTACCTGCCTGCTGGGGTCAGCAGGGCCAGCCTCGGGGGGCCTGAGGTGGCCGCCTCCTGGGCCCCCCAGGAGAAGAGGCTGGCCCTGTGGGTACATACCGGGTCGCAGGGGCGGCCGGGCCCCCTGGTGGGCCGGGCCCGGTCGCAGCCGCGACCCCTGCGACCCTGGTATGTACGCCACTGCCCTGTTAATAGCCTGGTAGTCCCTGCAGGAGCCTCCTGTATGTGATTAAAGTATAATTTACAGAGCAGTAGATAAAAACCTCTAAAGAAATTTAACATCTGATTGAAAATGAAACCATTTTGTTTTACGCAGGCTGTGTAAGTCACAGCCGGGCAGTGGTGTGGTTAGGGATGCATAAACTGAAATGAAAATTATGTAACTCTTAAGTGATAGTGAATTGAGCTGTGAACTAGGCGTGGTCTATACACAAAAACTGCTTAATAAAGCTAAAGTTGTTTAGGTGACTATGGTGTACCATTAAATACCTCCCTACCCTCCCACTTGACACTAGTAATGTGAATTACCTCACTAGCCTTAAAAGAAACAATGCTGTTTTCATGACACTATAGTTCCCTGAGGGTGCTCCCACCCTCGGGGCCCCCCTCCCGTGGCGCTGAAGGATTTAAAATCCCTTCAGTTACTTACTTTAATCCAGCACCGGGCTCCTTCTGCGCTGGTGACTTCTCCTCCCCGTCTGACTTCAGCTCCCCCGTCCGACGTCAGTGGAGCCGAATGCCACGCGCATTCGAAGAGTCCATAGGAAAGCATTTCTCCGGAAGACAGCCACTAGAGACTGGATTAACCCCGCTATGTGAATGTGATTAACCCTTTCTCTGAAACTGCTATGTTTGCATCTGAAGGGTTAAACCTGAGGGACCTGGCACCCAGACCACTTCATTGAGATGAAGTGGTCTGGGTGACTGTAGTGTCCCTTTAACGAACCCACTACTCTTTTCAATTTCAGGAGGTGTTCCGTACTTATCATTCCCTGCTTCACTATAAAGCCAGCTGCTCTGGCCTGAAAACCAGGGTCTTATTGCTGCAGCTTCATGGTAAAGAGAGAAGTATATATTTGACCACTTTACTACCAAATTTGAGTATAAATGTTTTTATTTTCATGTATTTTGTAGAATTAAATTAAATTCATAAAGCCTCGCTCACCCTCCGCTATACTCTTGGAATGATTAACAGCCTGTGGAGAAACACTAGTCTCTAATAGAATGTCTGCAAGTTTACTGAAAATGTAAGCACTGTGCTCAAATGCAGACATTCTTTTTCCATTCTGTTACTATTTTTAGTAAGCTGTTCTGCTACTAATAACTAACTACAGGGTCCTTACCTGTAAGCAAAGTATATGACCATTTTTATTTATCTACTTTGTCACATCTACTGTATGTCTGTAAAGTCTGTGTACTGTCTACAGCTATAACATATAAACAAATTAGTGAAAAATATGATTATGACAGCATTTTAAATACATCATCAACATTTGTAGGCTTCTACACAGCTTCATGCATCACAATTTCCTAATAAGGATGGGCATACATTTCATCTGAAAGATATCTTCAATGCTTGCCATTATCTTACAAATATATGAACTAAATAATTCAATAATTCCTTGGGTATAGGTGTAAGGGTAAACTGTGAACTATTGCAACGAGTTTGATTAGACATTTTCTCCCAAAGACAAGCTTTTTTTTCACCTTTGGGGCAGAAACAGAGAAAGGAAGAAGTGATGATGCCCCTTAAGAAAATGGTCAAGCAGCGTCATATCAAATATAACTATATAGCAATGTTTAACTGTGCCAAAAGAGGGCAGTAGATGGAGAAAAGATTTGCCGAAGACATGGAACTGGGCAAATCACCATCACATCCACAGCAACAAGGCTCAGATCGATAGTTTGGCCTGAGTAGTCCGTTCTTCTTTTTGCTATTCATATAATGCCTGTTTTTAAAACCATCTGAATCCACTTACGCAAGGTCACAAAACTACAAGAATGCTGGGGTCACCATAGTGCAGTCCCATACAATGTTCTGTGGCCTATCAGTCAATCTTAGATGCATGCCTGGGTAATTCTTACCACATGTCTGCTTACTGTGTGCTCAATAGCTCTACTTATAATTGTATTTAGAGCAGGAAGTAACAAGGAGGACACAGTGGGAAAATCATACCAAGGGCTGTCTGATTGCTACGTTCCCACTAGCTGCTTATAAATGTGGCACAAATTGTCTGTATTCCTTAGGCCATAACAATCAAATGTTTCCTCCTGACGTAAACTTTAGTAATTTATTGTTTTATTTAAACCACATTTTTGTGAAGGTCTTCACTGAAATTTTCAGATTCTCAGCTAAATAAATTTTATAATGCCAATACAAACTTAGCAGCACAGATCCATTTCCATTCAATGACATTTTATGTATTTTTATTTATAGCTTACGAACTGTGAATTGGTCCATTAAAAGTGTAAAAAAATATTTCTGTGTACTTTCCTCGTATTTTTCTTGCAAAAACAAAATGCAAATTGTTCATTAAATTGTATTGATGGCTTCTAAGGGCTTTTATCTGCAGAGAAAAAGCAATCCAAAGTTTAGCAAAGCCCATCGCAATCTCATATATCTCAGAGCCTAAGGTACCCATGTGACAAGTTAATTCTTACTGCCCAGAGAGCAACAAGGCCACATTTACATGATTTTTGGTGTATAAGTTATGGACAATTCTCTAAATGGATGTCTCACAGTAAAATCCCTAAATGCCCGACAACAAAATGTGTTGTTCGACTAAACCACGATATTTAATGTATTATACTACAAACATTTGTTCCATGTTTGTCTAAGTCATCTGCCTCAAACCCCCAACAGATCCTATGGGGAGACATACATTTATTCTAGTACATTAAAGTAGAATTAAAAGGACACTCCACTGACCATGTACAAAATAAACATCACTCTTTAGTAGATATGCCCCAAATGACAGCATGTATGATTTTAATTACATATTTGGTCATTGGAGGCCATCTAAAAACCTCTTGCAAAACCTGCAGTAACCTGGAAGTAACAGGACTTGTCTGTTTGAAAGACAGGCGGGTGTTACTGGATTAAAAATAAATTAAAGAGGACACAATCTTCACACATAATTTCAACAAACTGAAGTGCTTTAGGGGTCTGGAGGGTCCCTTTAAGTGCTCATTTTCTTTAAATATATGTCAAATTTGACAAGTCAGGTTAATGGAAAAACACTAGGAACAACTTGATCAGATGATCACAGCTGAAGTGCTACGATAGGGCTCAAAATGTCAAGTCATGCAACACCAGACCGTCGAGCAAAGTGTTCCTTTCCTTTCCATACTTTATGTATGCTGCCTACAACTGTCGAAACTATAGGAAGAACTTAATAGTGTCACGGTTATTCAATAAACTCCAAATTGTAGTGAATTACAAGCCACGTTGTGCAACTAGGGCTAAAACTGACAAAAAGTTCTCTAACTCCCATAATCACCGAATGGCTAACTGAGCTTATATTTTGTTATTTGGATTTTTATTTGCTACAGATCAGAGGTTAGTGAGTAATAATGATAGTGTCAGGGTATTTCACCACATTGTGAATTCAAAGCGAATTTAGTCCAAAATAATTGAGTTAGAAAAAGAACACAAAATGGAAAAATGTGACTTGAAAGGTTACTCCTGGGAGCTGGACGCAGACTGAAAGAGCTCCTCAGCCTAACTTATGTATAAAGTGTATAACTCGAAGATTTCTCTTCAATTTCATAAATATTGCATTTGTAAGGAAAGGAGACATAACCCTGATGCTGGATGAATACTTTTGGATGCCTGATGTGATCTTAGATATCGTTCTAATCCGCGGCCTGCTTCATAATCTTAGGCGGGGGAAGCAGCAGATCCTCCTTGTGGGAATTGCACTAACTCCAACGAGTTCTCCCCTTGGACCAGTGCAGGTCATCCCCGTCCCCACTGGACAGAACCTGATTTACACCAGACCAATGGCAGCACTACACCATGAGCTGGAGGTTGTACTACCCAAAAGGGCCGATGCATGCAAGCATCATATCTGGAATCAGGAGCCACGAGACCCAGATTCAGCAATCATAATCTCGCAGATGCTGACTCAATTCTACGCCATATGACAGCAATGTTGGACCAAACTAAATCATTGCTCTGAATCACCGCAACCAATCCCTGTATCAGAGGACGACCACAAGCAGCATGTAGATTAACCCATTAAGGACCAAACCTCTGGAATAAAAGAGAATCATGACATGTCACACACGTCAGGTGTCCTTAAGGGATTAAAGGCACAAGGAGTTTATGCTGGGCGTAACTGTCACCCTTCCCACCCTCACCATGGAAAAAAATTCCATCGCAGTTCACTAACATCACAACATCCTCACAGATGGAAGGCCTCTCCACGCAAGAGATGGTATTCACCTAGACAGACCTTGAGATTTGAAAAGGGCACTAACAGGAGGGTCTGTGGCACTGGGGGCCCTCGGGCTCAAGAAATTGCAATATCAGTTCCTGAGCAAAAACGGGCCAAGAGGGGAATTCTAAAAGGTCAGGAACACGCTGTTACTGGACACAGCAAGTACATACAACTGATGCCTGATTTAGGAACAGGCTGAATGTCCCTACTACACATATTCTTCAGCCCTCCTCTTCAGCCATGAGCTGAGGCTCACTTATACACCATTCCAGTTGTCGTATGCATTGTTCACATTTTTGGTTAATTTACTTTAGTGGAGTGTGATTATAAAAAGCTCATAGAACTGTAAAATTACCAATTAAATTTCAGATTCAATAGCAAGCGCCAATATATACTGTATGGAAATACGGTTAAGTAACTTTACTAGGAAAGCTACATGTAAAATAATGTCAACATTCTCAGGTGTTCTGAAAAACAGGTTGTTTTCATGAACATGCTGGATGATCATTCTATATAAAGCAGTGTGACAGCTGCAGATGAAAATTCCTTTCTACCCTGCTGGGAGCTGTCAATGTGCAGTATGTCCCCTGAGCCCACTTTTATTCCAGCCAGAATTTATGGCACAGTGGGGATACCATTTAAAGCTGATGGTAAACACTGTGGTTGCATTATCAGATTTGTGCGGTCAATTTAAAGACAACGACCGCAGTATCAAGCCCAAGATACTGGAACTCTGTATTTACCCCCTTTGAAAATGATAAATAAAAAAATATTGGGGTTGTGAAATGCTTCGAATGATAAGGACCTTATCACGTTTGGACCCTAGCTAGTTTTTCTAAACAAAGCATGTGCACTGGTCAAGGCATCTGAACAAGTACAATAGTTCCAAAAAGATGTCTTATTATATTGTCCAATGAAAGATGGTGTGAAAGCCTTTTCTGTGCATAGATGCAATGTTTGTGTTGCCTCCTGTATATACAGTGCTTCCCAACACCTAACTCTTTATGCAAGGAAAAAAAACACTTCAGGCTGCACTAAGAATAAAATGGTTTATTACACCTGGACCTATTCAGTGAATGCAGGTGGCATAAACAACAAGCAAACACAAACACAGCTGAGCGTACACAATGATTGCTGTGTTATAACATCATCATGAGAGGAGTAACACTAAGGCTATCTATGAGTGTTTTGGTGGAACAGTGAAACTAGTTCACCTTAATGCATTCTCTAGTTTATCGAGATAAGAATCTGCTGAAATGGTATATTAAACGAAACAGTGACAGAAACACCAGCCATTATCAATAATGCGTCAAAGCTAGGATAAAAGACACTGAGAAGAGAGAAAAAGACAAGTAATTTGATAATTTGTTGAAGAAGGAAAGGTGAACATTTACTGGAGAAAATTTGAGTTCAGAGATTTGGCCTAAAATAATTGTACTTCCTTTCTCAATTCTCCACTTCAGTTTTAGTGAATAAGTGAAAAAAATTTATTTATTTTTTAATACAAAATGAAAGAATTAGATTTTTATTACAAATAAACAAGCTGAGGTTTCTGTGGCCACATTTTATTCCATATTCAGAGCCTCTGAGCCACAATACAAAAAAAACAAACAACGGTGGAAAAGAAATTGTCTGTAAAACAGCAGAACACCAATAAGTCCTTTTCAATGACTCCATGTTAAACGTGATGTTTTATCTGGGAACAGAAACGAATTCTCCTGTATTCCATCTCGACCTTGATTGAAACAACTTGTATTACCCCATTGCACACAACAGAAAGCTCTACTGCAGAGCAAGTGAAAACATGGGGAATTTCCATCCACACAAATTGTCTGGCTGCAGATACAAATTCGTTTTAATCCTCCAATCCAGTTTCTCACTCAGGTGGTGGCAGTGTTGAGAGGTGTTCCAGTTCATACCTCCCATCCTCCGCTCCACCCTTACCCCCCTTCTTATTTTCTAGAATTTGACGCATCTGTTCTTGGGCATATGATGGCTTTTCTGCCAAAGGCCCTGGAGGGGTGGGAAAGCCCAGGATTTCAGGGGCCATATATGGACGTAGCCATCCAACCAGTGGAGTGCTACCAGGCGTGTAGTGAGTGTGTTTATGGTAAAAGAGAAGTCCATCGACCTGTAAGGAATGAAGGGAACAGAAAACAGTGGAGAAAATGTTGTACGATGTCATAAGCTCCCCAATTGTCAATAAAGCTCTGTTGTGCTAGAGCAGTGTTTCATAACATTTTAATTCACCTTCCTATTACAAAGGTAAAAACATCTAGACAGGTCTGAACAGGTACCGTTTTATAAATAGTTTTGTTTCAGAAAAAAAGAAGTCTGCTGTAATTCTAATGTTCATTACATTTCCAATACAAGATATAAACGTTTCCTTAGCACTAGTTCTTTTCTGGTTTTCCATTAACCCAAAGTTAGTAATGTGAGTTATAGAGCTAAAATGGAGAAAAGAAAATCCAAGACAACATAAACAACTGTTGATGGGGCAATAAGCGGAAAAACAGTCAGGATCTCTAATGTTTACACATGCATTTTGACATCTCTAAAATACCCTTTTGAATAAGCATGTTAATATCTAATGTCAACCTGTTATGGCAGGTCCACATTAAAACGAAAACTCCAAACATAGTAAACACAAAAGAAGTGGCTACGGTGTCAATAATGCCTCATTGTAAGCAGTCATACTGTTTTTAAACAATTAAAGTGGTGTGGCACTCTTGGGAAAAAATAAAAAGCGTGGGAGCTGGAGCACCTCCTGATGTTCTGTGGTGGAAGCCCAAAACTGCCAAGTAAAAGTATCCAACAGAGAATCCACAGGTAGGATGCACTGTGCAGTTTATTGAAGGAACACAAAAAGAAATAATACAACATTTCAGCCCAATGGCCTTAATCAAGTAAACGGTTTGAAAATGTTTTGACATCTTATCTGGGGTCCATCAGGTGCCGATACCTGTGTCCACCACAGCCAACAGAAAGCCAGAAGCTCCTAAGCAGGACCTTGTGTTGGGTCTTCTAAACTAGGCTCTGCAAGTGCAGTGATAGTTCTTCGTCAACGGAATGCTCTCAGCCAATGCACAAAGCCACGCACTGCTGGGCTTAGCTAAGACAGAGAACTTCCAGTTCTATGTAGTGTAGGTGAGAAGCGGCAACCAACAAACCCCAGGTAAGAAGCCAAACCATTCTAAACTGTTAGTACTTACCTTTTACCTCTCCCTCTAGTACTGCCATTCTCAGAGGGTCCATGGGTGTTAAAAGTATTGTAACATCCACCCATTGGTCCTGTCTCTATCAAACACAATTGATCCTGCATGAAAAAAAATTATCGAAGCAGGAAAATCCTCAAACCTGATACCAAGATGATGGCTACAATGTCAACACATCAGCGTCAGAACTTACTATATTTGTCCTGCAAGCGTGACAAACTGTTGCTGGGGAAATATCACTGTAAAATGAGAGTAGGACTACCGCCTGAAAAATTGTTCTCCTGCTTTTTGCTGTTACTTGGTCCTCAGCTAAGACTACTATGCCACCAGCACAGAGATGTCTCGTCTCTCTCAGTTCTATTGACAGCTTGTGTACCATTCCATTGACCACTTTATGACATGCCAGGACTTTCACTGAATTTCAAGGTTAGAAGCATATTCTCTACTTATAACTTATACACTTAAGTATCTACTTATCTGATAAATCGAGTTTGTACCTTATAAGGAAATTCTTGCATCAAAACATTGTGCACAGACTCCAGAGAGCAAGGAAAGTTATCCAGGCCAACAAACTTGAACTGAAAAAGTAAAAAGAACAAGAATTGAGAATGAAAAGTGAACAGCACAGAAGACCATTAATTAGTGATTTCTGAAGATCAGCAACATTAATAAAAGTACTGTATTTTATTCTTGTTTCTATCAAATATTTATCTTGTTCCCTGCAGAAATTCCGTTTACCATTAACATATTTTGTAATTCCAAGTATATATGTTTACTCCTCCTCCCTTATCCCCCCCCCCATTCCACGGCAGACTGCTACTTACTGGGTTACGCTTGGAAATCTCACACAGATCTTCATGTTCTTGAAGCTTTGACTGCAGCCAGTAGAAACGAAAATCCGTCTAAGGAGATAAAAGTAAGTATTACATTACAAGAAAAGAGGCAATTCAAACAGCAGTCCCCAGTAAGTAAATGTATTATGGTTTACGGACTAGTGCAAGAATTTCATGACCTGCATTTAATAATAAGATGCGTATCCATTATTCCAGGATAGAGAATTTCAGTGTACATTGGCATTAGCACGGTCCCAGTAATTATACAATACCATCGGTACCTGCTCCAAAATCATAAGTCCCCCTCCAGACATGTTAGCCCTATTTCAGTAGTTAAAAATCCCCTTGTCCCATTTTAGATTGCACCTTTCCATCTACTCTTTTAAGCACCCCACTCCTCCTCTTTTATCAGCAACATACGCCTAATATCATTGTGAAAATCTAAATTTGGTTGCAAGGGGAATGATCAGGTATTAAACACAGCCTAATGGCAGAATAAGACATATATACTGGGGGGTGGAGCCAACAGCCGAGCCGACTGGTCGCAACTCCAGCGAGCTGCGAGAAATAAAAGCACTTTTACAGATAAAAACATCGACTACCACCCCCAAAAAGCGAAAGAAACAAGCTGATTAACCCCAACAATCTAAGCAACAATGGGAAAGAAGAATAAAAAACTAAAAATCGGACATGCCACGACCAGGCGCAAGTATTGGGGACCTATGGCGGAGAGCGCACGGAGCCCAAGAGCCTAACATGGCAGATTATACAGACTATGTGGACGACTTCAATAACTTCGATGACCAAATTTCGGACCAAGAAGAGGTGACCTTACCCGCTGTGCGACCGCCGACACAGCCCAAGACACAGTCGGATGCTACACTGGTCACGAAGGCTGAGATGCGGGAGCTACTGGCAGAACTCCGACAGAACATCCAGGCCGACATGGCGAACATGAAGAAAGATATCCAGAGCCTGTCAGACCGCATGGGTGTTGTGGATTCCAACAACCACACACAGCAACTTACCACGCTGCAGCGAGACATAGTTTCCCTACAACAGCAGCACCTGCAGGTGGAACAAAAAAATAGCGGCGATGGAAGATGCACGGCGTGCCCAAAACCTCAAGATCAGGGGAATAGTCCCAGACGCTGAAGTACCTCACCTCATAAGACGCCTGGTAAGCAAAATTCTCCCCGCGAAGCAGGCCAGAGGAATAAGCATAGATGGCACATTCCGAATACCCAAACCCACGACAGCCCCACTAGCGGCACCCAGGGATATAATAGTCACATTACAAAAACGTCAAGACAAAGTAGCAATAATGGCCGCCACCAGGGGAAACACACCGTATGCCTTTGAGGACATGTCCCTCACGTTCTATACGGACCTGTCACGGGGAACAATGGCATGGCGTGCAACCCTCAGGCCACTCACCACCTTACTCCGCGCACACAGCGTCAAATACCACCCCACAAACTACAGGTGCTTCATGGAGACGCTAATTACTCAATTGCTGACCCACAAGAGGCGAGAATGCACTTAGCGACCTGGGGCCTCCCACAAGATGCCCTGCAGCAACCCCACAAACCCGCTAACACCCACGCATGGAACCCGGCCACCTCCGAGACATTTGTCCCAAGAAGATCCACCCAAACAGTAATGTCAACGGGCTAAACATGAAACCACATGTGGACTTGAGGATCTGCACCACCCGCTCATTGATGTTCCTTGGGGTTCACAACATGGACAAGGACAAGTTGTCACTACACTGTATTGCCATATCAATCTACCCAATGTAAATGCCTACTGAAGTTCCCCTGGCACCCACGAAGGAGCCTGGTTATGTTTATATGTTCACATGTTTACCTGTCCCTAAATCAATAGACTGTTACAAATTGCCTACTGCGCACCATGCGCTGCCCTTAATAGAGTGGAAACCCCATTTACCAATGGCAAAAGGGCTGACCATACTCTTAGGCACTATGCCTACAAAGCATCAAGACATAGACGTTAAGAAACTATGATCAAGCCTAGAGCTCAAACTTAAGTCGCTAAACATACCTGACTTACCCACTGGTATCTAGACCAGTTCACTCCACAACACGCTTGATGTGTTGAAATGGCTCAAAATCGTCTTATTATAAAATATAAAGTGTGCACTATTTTACGTGCTACTGTTAATGCTGTAATGATTAACGCATACGCTGTTGTGGCGTTACTGATATGCTCTGTAAACACCTGCACAATAAAAAAAAACAACAAAAAAAAACATATATATACTACGCTGATCAGACAGCAACCCGCGGTTATATCATTGCATTAACTGGTGTTAGCTTGCTTGCCATCAATGAGAACATCAATGTCCATTACCAGGGGCCCCCCAAAAAAAGTAAAACTACTTTGTTCCTAATGAAGACCCTTCATGACAGATATGCTCTAGATCAGGGTAGGCAACGTTTGGAACTCCAGATGCTTTGCCAGCATTATGGCTGTTAGGGAATTATGGGAGATGTAGTCCACAACATCTGGAGTGCTGAAGGTTGCCTACCACTGATCCAGATCTTGCAGGATAATGAGGATTTATGCCATCCAAGAAAGTGTAATTACATGCCACAATATTTCAAAACAATAAAACATATACGATCACTCACAAATTACCTGACAATCATACACTGGGTGACCTCTCCAGCACATTACATCCAGAACATAATATGTCCGTGTCTCCTCGTTAAATATGCAATCCAAGATGGTGTAATCTGTAAAGGAGAATGGGTAAATATATAATATATTCCTCCTTATTTCCCATGCACCCCCTCTGCTATAACAAAGATCATCAATGAATCTCACACCCACAACCCAATAATCAGTCCCTCACCTTTGCCAGTAGAGCTGTTGTGTCGGTTGCCACCTGGAAGCAGGGATGGAAATCTGTTCACACAGTAGCCACTCTTAGTGTATGCTGCTGTCGAGCCCTGATGTAATCAATAACAGAGTGGTTAATGGGGGGAGGTGGGAAAACACATAGGGAGAAGGTGATAATGAAATATTGAAAAAAAGGTACCCGAGATGCAACAATCAAAGAACGCTTCCCCACTGGACATACTACAAGAAGCCAAAGTTCAGCCAAGTCTGGAGGAATCTCTATTAGCCACTCAGAAAGCATGATCTGTGGGGGAAGGAATAAAAAGAAGCACAACAAACTGTTAAAAAGTGCAGCGAGACATTAGATTACGCAAAAAAGATGCAAGTCTTACTTCCCACTACCACCCACTTGGTTAGCATAATGTCTAGGTAACTTCTTTCCAGGGTCGACATCCATCTCATCATCGCCCTCATCCTCTGCATCTTCCTTAGGTCCTTCCTGATCACCTTGCTTTTCATCCTTCGATGACCAATCCCCCTCTGCTAGACGTCGAGCATGGTTTAAGTAATCCAAGCGTTTCCTGTGAATTGGAAGACTGTATCAGTTCTCCATAATTTGTTCAGATTAGCTATTTTTGCTCATCCAGATTTTAATTAGCTACAATTCAGAGGTTACTAAATAACCCTGACTGCCGTGATATTTCAAACATATGTACGTGAGGTGCTACTAGACCCATTTATCAATGTTAAGTAATAAGAGACGTCCTTTGATTGCGCACTGACATGAATTTTGTGGGGACACAAAGTGAATTAAAATTTTTACACTTTAAGGAATAACCTTGTACGGGCTCTTTTTCTTACGCTTTCTGTAGCTCCAGTAATTTTCGCCTTCGTTCACTTTGCTCCAAAGAACTGTACTTGCCCTTGTACTGAGATAACCGAGGATGAGGAGCATCTGGATTGTTAAGGTACGACGAAACAGAAAAGCTTCCGGCAAGGGCATCTGTCAAATCGTCCATCCTGAAGAAGCGGAAGAAAAAGAGGACACCAGCTTAGTACATTCCTACAGAAACAAAGGGTTTGATTTAAGAAAACATCGCAGACAAACTGAACAAAAGGAAAATTATTTAACATTTATTTATTCAATACCTTTTTACATGATGTAGATATTGTACTGAAAACTAAAAAAAAAGAGACAACACGTATAACCTGCATACAAACAAACAGTGACAGGGAGCACCGAGATGCTCACATATAATTAATAAGAAGAATTTATTTAGGATATAATTAATATAAAACATTTATTTAGGATATCATTAATATAAAACAAAGAACCCAATATTAACATGGAGGCTTATTGTTTTATTTTTTATTTCCTATAATGTACATGCTGGTGTCAGAATAACAGGAATCCATAGATTTCAATTCACAATTAGCCATAATTTACTTACTTGCTGGTGCGTGACGTCACGAGGCTCACATGTAGCCGCAAGAGTGAGAGGAAACGGAACCGTGCAGGGATACAGTCACGTGATTGCTGGAATGGCTGCAAACGCTAGAGATAAGCGACCCGTGTTCATGTTGTATAAGGCAAGCAAGCGGCCATTTGCCCGAAGTCCAGTAAGATGATAATACCGTCATTCTCTACCAAAATGGTGCCTGTGCGTCGCGGGGACATGGTCACAGTTTCTCTAACGTGTAGAACTCCCCGGGGTCCTACACAGAAAATACATGTTTAGAGATATAAACAAGCGAGATAAACGATGTTTGTTACTTTCTGGAGCCAATTTAAGGGGGCAAATAGTGGAGACCCCTGGGAACAGTCCCTGAAACAGTATTTACTCCTTAAAGACTGTTCCTAAAACCACTGTGCAATACTTTACACTCCAGGCTGCATTCAACCCATTCTTTTCACATACATTATTCAGCAAAGTAGATTAAAGCTTGAAAAATGCTTAATTAACAGCACTGAAAATAAATATATAGTTTAAGGCGCTGTGTTTGCTGCCAATCCCCAAGCTTTGCAGTATCTGGGTTCTCACCAAACCAAGACTCCACATTGAGCTGCATTGGGAAGTCTGTGATTGGACAGCCACAGAAAGGCTGGGTGGAGTTAAAAGAGGAGGGCTTGCAAAAGCTACAGACAAGAGGTCTGCAGCTTTTGCAAGTTGTTTTTAGATATAACCCAACTGAAAAAAAGAATGAATGAATAAATGCATGTATGTTTTCATTGGTGGTATATGTAATAAACAGTGTTTTAAAAAAAAATATATTTGAGTAGTGCAATGTCCCTTTAATGTATATTTCCCCCCTTCCCCCCCCCCATAATTTTCTATCATACCACCCATACAACACTGCCAGAATTACACTTGGTATATTTTCTCCTGGGATTTTATTTTTAATGAAACTCTCCTACAGCATGTTTGGTTTGTTGATCACATAAGAACTGTGTTTCAGCTTATTTTGACTTTAATAGTTCAGCTCTAAATTTACTTTGTTGCTAGCCAACAAGTTGATTGTCAGAGGCTTGTCTATTTGCTGAGCTACATTTCTTAATGAAAGTAACAGATCCCAAATGAAGTGGCTTAGAGACCTAGATCATGTTGTACGGGCATAAGGCCAAGTCTTTAAAAGATCTGTTTAAGCAAATAAAAGAATTGCATACTTATTAAGACAAGGCTAGTATGTGCAAGACAGGCTATTATTAAAAAAAACATATTCAAGCTAAATTTTACATCCAAGTCAATGAAGCATTTAGACTTTAAATAAATGAATTGAGAGATGTACAGTTGCAATCTAAAACCACATACCTATACTCAGCAAATAAAGATAAAATCTACAATTTACCTCGAATTCTTACCTAACAAAGTGCAAGGTCCTGATGAACTATAATAAGCACTACAAGGTTTTTCATAACACTTTTAGTAACTAAACTGTATACAATGTATACAGAAACAGCTACTTCAAGTTTACCCCTAGAATATTATTAGCAAGCATTATCATTCTGAAAGGTAGAAAGAAACCTAAAGAATGTAAAGTTTTTTGGGAAATTCTCACTGCAAAACACAGATGCTACATTGTATGCGAAAAAAATAGAAAACTGTCTCAATATAATCCTTCCTTACTTTTTTAATACATAATACTATCCACAAGGACTTAAAAAAATATGATGATACATGGTCGGATGCTGGGAACCTATAAACCTTTTGGCTACGTGAGTGACCTTATCCTCTCTTTATGTTACATATTAAAAACATTTTTTTTTATTTTTTGTTTTATCATTATTATTATTGTTTGATAAAAACTGTCATTAAAAAAAATTGCTATATATAGGCCATATTTATAATTGGGTACCTCAACAAGTCTCTCTCATAAATGCATACGTTTATGCTATGACCATAGATTGCAAGCTGGTTTGAGCAGGGCCTTCTTCACCTTTGTCTCTGGTACATACCATATGTAAATTAGTTATCAAATATCTCCATTTTATAAATGTAAATCATTGCAGAATATGTTGGCGTTATATAAATGACAGTGATAATAATGATTGTTAACTAGAACACCCTTTAAACTGCCTACACTTTCTCCTCCAGTTTTCTCTCTCCCCGTACCTCGTGCTTGAAATCTCAATGGTGTCATGCATATTAAGTAATCTTGTTAATGCAATGTGAAGTTTTAGCAAAGCAGAATTCTAATGGATGTGGCCGTGATCTGGGCAAGGAAGGAGGAAGTTAGGGGGAAAGGAGGAAGTTCTAAATAGGGCGTATGAGATGTGGACATTAACGGGAATAGTGCTAAGAAAGCACAGTTGTTTTCTTGGCACTATAGCTTCCCTCTTCCCTCGCCGCAATGGTGCAGAAAAAGGTTAAAAACGTCAGCCGGCAGGGGAGACCTAATGCACATCGCATTAGGATTTACCAGTAGAAAAGCATTATACAATAAGTTTCTATGGGATTTTGAGGAACACTGGACCTCCGCATGCATAGCGCGAGTACGTCCAGTGTCGGTTAGGAGACCAAAAGTCGCCTAACGGCCCAGAGGTCCCTCTAGTGGCTGTCAGGTAAACAGCCACTAGAGGTGAAGTTAACCCACCAAGCTAATTATTGAAGTTTTTTTTTAAAACTGCAATAATTACCTTTGCAGGGTTAACAGACCTGGGACAGTGCACCCAGATCACTTCAATGAGATGAAATGGTTTGGGTGCCTATAGTGTTCCTTTAATTAAAAAAGATAACCGCACATTCTACAGCATCAGGAAGTATAAAAGTGCAAATTTAAGGCAGGAACTTAGTGATCTCCATTTACTAAACAGTCAGAAAGAACATATACCATAAACTAACAAAATAATAATAATAATAATAAAAATAAATCAAGAAAAAAAATAAACTCCCTAGTGTGGTGTGTAGAATAACTAGCTTACTGCAGGTCCAATAGTTTTTTTTGAAAGCGGTGTAATATACAGGAGGTGAGAGTTCATCCATAATCTTGTTGAGTTCATTTTTTATTTTACGGTTATGCTCGGTAGAGAGTCACTAAGCCAGCGCCCACTGGGAGAAATAGTATGACCGTGCGTTACATTATAGAGACATCTGGCTTCTCCTGCAGGAGTAGACCCAATGTAACACTGGCACCCAGAGGACCCTGATATGTTGTCAAACCGTGCGAAAACAATTTAACTATTGACCCAGAGATGCCACCATAACCACTACAGTGGGCTGGAGTAGTTATGGTGCTTGGAATGTTCCTTTAATAGGCAGCTTGTGAAAAGTACTGTCCTACTGTAGGCAGAATTCAAAAGCTGCAGGTAGAATATCAAGCCATTAATCATTCAGGAATCCGACAAATGAATTCTATATACTGCATGTGTGAGTACTTTATGTGTGACACTTGACAACATGAAGAATCGATGTGTAACCTGGAGATCAGTGTAGATCTTCCAAACGTCATCAACAATCCGATTTAGAACAGAATCTATTGCTTGGAATCTACTGCTTGGAGGTTGCTTGCAATTAAGAGTACTAACATCCTCATGGAAAAGCAGTCAGACTAAATAGATAGGGCAAAAAGTGTAAGTTAATCTTTAGAGCTTTTTTTCTCTATGTGTTCTGTGACAAACTCTAAATCGAGCTTCAAGAGTGAAACACTGGGGAAAGAGATGATGTCTGTGTGACATAATTAGATGCATGCTTTTCATATTTTCTCCTGCACAGGGCACATGGGGCAAATTCTGTTTCCGGCAGAACTTTCAACCCCCCCCCTCTCCCCATCTATGGTCATTCACTCCCCTTAATAATAACATCATGGAAATACAGTGAGATGAATTGGACAGAGCACAGTGTGTCTGGTTATTTGGATGCGGAACGCATGGAAAAATTCGAAACAGTGCTAACCATGCCTCAAATAATACAGAGATAAAATGCTAAAATTAAAAGCAATTTTGCATTGATTTATCCAAATAGTGGAGAATTCATCACTATATAAAAAAATTGCAACATATTAGTGCTATGTTTAAAACTAATTTAAATATATGAAATATGAATATGCTACTACATTTTACAAGAAATGTGTAAAAACAAAATGTTTGGCTAAAAAAATTAATTTGGAGAATTTTGGCAATGCCATTACCACCTCTATTTTGATGTAATTGTTCTAGATTCTGTTTTCTTTCAGCCTCATTTTACTAGCATTTATTCACTAGACTGGTAATTGTGAAAATAATAATAAATAATATAGTAGAGTTAAAAGTTTTATGCCAGTATAGCCCAATATGAGGTTTTGGTCATTACGTGACCGAAGCGCCGCTAGTGGCTGTCTGTAAGACTACCTCTGGAGGTGTGTTTAACCCTTCAAGGTAGATATTGTCGTTTATGCAAAAAAAATGTTACTCATCAGATATTATTGCCAAATGTTGCAATTTCGTTTTCATTTCATTACAATCCACTGTTTAGTGCAGTGGTTCCCAAACTTTTAGGTTCAAGGGGCCCTTAATATTTCAGTATTTTTCCAAGGCTCCCCAAGTCAAAATGTCTAGGTTGTATATCTGTACAGCGCTGCGTCATTTACTGGCGCTATATTGTAATGTACAGTGTTGGTGTCTGAAGGGGTGCTTGTATACATCTATTGTGTTTTAATACAGGGGTGTGTTTGTATGTAATGTTTGAGTTTGATTGCAGGGTTATGTCTGAATGTAATGTTCACTTTTAAATGTGGATGTACATTTGTGTGAAGTATTAGTGTTTGAGTGAAGGGGTGTGTTTGTATATTTTTTTTTGTTTGAATGCAAGGGTGTGTTTTGTATGTAATAATTGTGTTAGATTGCAGGAGTGTGCTTGTATGTTGTGCTGGTGTTTGACTGCTTGGATGTATGCACATACACTACCACATAGATACATACTTACACAGATTTATTTAATTATTTATAAAATATTATACCAGGAAGGATACATTGAGATTTCTCTCGTTTTCAAGTATGTCCTGGGTCCACAAAACATTGCATTGTTACAATATGGTACAATAAAATACTAAAACAATATTAATAAACAATATATACAAAATTTTAACATTGAACAGATAGGAAATATATAATCAGCCATGACACTTGCATTTTGTTTTGAGTTATGTAGAGAGGGATCTCTTAATGCACATTAACACACAGATGCATATAAATACACCGACATATACACACAAATTCATATAGACACAGACAAATACACACATGTAGATACACACAAACACATACACACACATAGATATACACCGACATATACACACATGCACCCTGACACACAAAAACATTGATAAATGCCCACACCATGACGCAGATACACACACTGACATAAAAACACACACCCTGACACACAGATGCACATACACAGATATGTGCGCACACACAGAAGCACACTGACATATATATACACACACACACACACACACACACTCACAAACACCCACACACACACACTCATACATACACTCATACACACACACACATGCACACATACTCATACTCACACTCAAACACATACACACACGATTTTTTTTTCTTTGTTTCTCCAGCCATCTCCTGTTAGCTTACTTTATGTACCAGGAGGGTGGCTTGGAGGCCTGCTGCTGTGGAAGTGAGGGGTCTGGAGCTCTTCATGCTCCTCTCACTCCCGCATTGTCTCCCTGCAGGATGCTAGGAGGAAGTGACAAGCTGTCACTTCCTCCCAGCCGGCCGACATTACAGGGGCCCCGTCGCGGTCTTAAAGGACCACGGCACTCGACCGGGTCCCTGTTGAGTAGTAATTTTTCCCCGACGGTATAATCATAGCATCGGGAAAACATTCCGCCAGGGCACACAGTTTGGGAACCGCTGGTCTAGTGAATAAACCCTTGCTATATTTAAAGGAACACTACAGGCACCAAAACAACTTCATCTAGATGGTGGGAGGAAGCCCCTGGAGGCACTCTTATCTCAAAGGGTTAAACAGTTCTCGGACAGTTTTAACCCCTAAGTTGCTTCCAGCAGTGATGTCCACCTCCCCCACCCCCCCAGCGGCTTCTGAATTTTCAGATTACGGAAGCATGGAGTGCCGCCAGGCAGGGGCGCCCCTGATAGGCTGAGAGTGAAAAGAAACGTACCTTTTCCAAGCCAATTTAGTGAATGGGTAGTCACTGAGAGGCTGGGAGCATTAACTAACTGCTCTTAGTAAATCAGCAGAGCCCCTGTCCAGTTGCACTCAGTGCTTCCTGAATCTGAAAATTTTGCAGGGGGAAGTGGTAGTGGATATTTACCTCAAGTTTAACCCCTTGAGGTAAGTGTGCTTCCAGGGGCCTCCTAGAACTATAGCAACTTTATGTAGATTAAGTTGTTTTGGTGTCTGGAGTGTCCCATTAAGTTTGGCTATTTTGATCAAAAATTTTAATTAGTTATTAATTCACTTTCAGTCTTATTTACTAAAGTACGAATTTTCAAGGACTCCAGGCGAATTTAAAAAAACGCTGCCTAAATAGCTGAACTATAAACCCAGCTGACATTTTTTTTTAACTTGGTAATTTTTGCTTAAAAGTTGAAAATCATTATAAATCACACTCTAAACTCCCAAAAATTCACATTTTAGATAATGACCTTATTAGCATTACAAAAAAAAAAGTAAAATGTATTTATTAAAGAATAATCCTGCAACTGTTTAGTGAATAAACCACTAAATAAATTATTTTGGAACGATCTGTAGAAATGATAAGATGTACATTTTAGGAGACAAAAAAAAAACAACAACCAGTAGTTGCGTGAAAAGAACTAATTTAACAGCAGAGCAATCCATCTTTTTCCCTTTACCAGACTCCAGACTCAGGAAGGATATTTATCTAATGATGGGAATATGGGCTGCTGCAGTAAATGGAACACCAGAGCTCATAGCTGTGAACCAGCTTGCACAAAATCCAATAAGACACATTGCACAGTGCTAGCACCTCCTATGAGAAGGAGGGATGAACAATAGGAGGGGTTTAGGATAATACAGGAGTAGCAAGAAAAGAGGGTGTTGTGAGTTTCCTAACAAGAACCCCAGAGGTCTAAAGAGATCTCCCATCCCCCATGTAGTTTGGGATGGGTATTGTCACACCCTCTGTATACCTCCACGCTGAAGGTAACTAGCCATTAACTTCCTTAGAACGCTGTGTATCAACTCTAAGAACTCTGCTGCTGGCTGGAGAGATTGCTTGGAAAATCAAATTATGTTCTTCTTGCTGGACCTTAAACTCTGATCTCTGAGCCCCCTTCCCCACAGTGAGGGGTCTCAGGTCTCCCTAGAGTGCTGATCACTTTGATGTACTTATTTAGGACGTTTTCCAGCCGTCCCCACGGTGTCCCTCTTTCCCCCTCCCTCCCTCTCTCTCTGGATGTGCTGTGTTGTTCCCTGTAAGCGGAAATATATCTTTTTTTTTTTTTCAGGATTGAATTCCTGAGGTTCTGACTCTTTACATCATAAGGGAAGTTTGACATGTTGTTTTTTTGCAATCAGCAAAATTGGATTCTCCCCTCTTCCTGAGCACCATGAACTCTCATTTCAACAAAGGCAGAACTGGGAAAAAACTTAGGAATCCTATAGCCTAATATTTTGGATTTGTCTGGTTTATTTTTTTTTATAGGATCATGGAAATTTTGAGAATTCCGCCCTTTTATTCTGGGATCTGAATGTTTTTGCAGGCAAGATTTCATCTGATCTTCTAAATTTTTTTTTTACCAAGTACCTGGAATATTTGCACGTTATAAAGGGTCCCCTTTTGAATCTGCAGGCTGATCAGCCTTGGGGTGAGTTGCAGTTTTTTTTTTGCTTGTCCTGCCTGTGTTTGGATTTAGTCCCATAAACACAGCTTGTGACTTAGTCATACCTGTTTGTGTAACTAATATGCTTTGGAAATGTATCCTGTCCCTGTGCTGTGTCTTTGTATTCTTAGTGTACAATACAGATCATTGTGTATTCAGACATTGCTGTGTTATATATTATTTATTTCATTGCCTTTATGTAGCATTCAAGAGTGTAAATCTATAGGCTAGAGGATTTTTTATTTTTTAATCCCTGGTTGCATTTTTTTAGCCATATAATTTTACAAGGCGTCAAGTGAATCCCACATGCAGGAGTCAATTTCAAAGAATTTACAGTCTGCAACAGTAAAACTCAGGAATGCAGTTAGCAGGTTTATATGTGTGGTTTAGAGCTATCATGGGGTGTGTAGGTTTCTATAGTATAAAAATTTAGTTATGCTTGCAATTTGTGTTAAATAAGGATAGGCCAAAGGTAGACCCCAAAACTGTGGCAGAGTATCTTGGGAATTGTAGTCCTCCACCTCTGGGAGCTATGTCTTTTACTCCTAAATTAGGCAGTTTAGATGTTTTGATTTTAAAAATTTTGAGAATAAAACCCATATTTCTAGTAAAAAGCTGTAAGCAAGTTGTGGCCACCTGAATAACTCAACTGTGTTTTGGTCTTCACTTGTTATTGTTCTGCAGCTCAATATTTAGTGATTAAACTCCCATATTTAATGTTTGTCAGTAAAAAAAATGTTTTAGACCAAGAATAAACATGTACAGGCCTGAAATGCTTGGTTTGTGCCTCAAACCTGCTTCATTGTAGGTATAATATGAAGGTGACTAGATTTCTCCTTTTAGTGGAAATGCTTAACCCCTTAAGGACCAAACTTCTGGAATAAAAGGGAATCATGACATGTCACACATGTCATGTGTCCTTAAGGGGTTAAAGCACCCTCTATGCATTCACTTTTAAAGGAAAACTCTGAGCACCATAACCACTGTGGCGCACACTGTACGTAATCAACCCATTTTATAACAGTTTGACTTTTTACCTGGGATTCACCGCACACTTCCCTGCCTCCACTACTTCAGACAGAGAGCCCGCTGTGCGGAACTAAGCTCATCAGAGCTAACGGAAGCTCTTGCTTAGGAACTTCCCGAGTTTTTTTTTTTTTTTTTAATGGAAGTATTGGAGGAAGGGAGCAGCGACCCGTGGCACCCAGGTAATAAGTTAAACCATTCTGAAGCAATTTCACTACAACTACTTACAGTGGGGGTGCCAGGGCACTTCTGGAACTATAACCACTATAAGGCGCTGTAGTCGGTAGTGCTTGGGTTTTTTACACTGATTTAGAAAAAAAATTTTGTGCCAAAATTTAAAGGTTTTGAATATAACAGAGCTATTGAATTCTTAGGCTGTTTTCGTTAAAACAAAAACACAATTTAGAAATTTTTCATTTCACCAAACAATACAATTTTTCAACTAGACAGGTCCAGATTTAGTGCCACTCTCTCGTTTGGAATGTTGCTTTTTCTAAAGGTAGTAATTAGAATTGCCGGATTCACAGTGACATCCTGGACACGTCCCTTTTTCGTGCTAAAATTGGCTTCCATCTATTCTTTAGTATGCAGAATTCATATGCTACAGGAAGAAATCTGATTAACTAATCAATGCATTCTTCCCTTTGGAAGCTCTGCTTGATTAATGAATTGACGTCTGCTTAGTAACATGGATTCTGCATGCTCCAGGCAGCATTATTTGTGTGCATAGCCCCAGCATGTGGGAGTGATATGTGTTCTGGAAACCAGTGTATCAGGTAACCTTGTGTTGCTTCTTTCCATATGGCTGTTACCTTGTGTGACGAGTTTTTCCCAAACCGTCATATCCGCACTGACAAGTAAGCAGGTAAAGTGGAAGCCCTGACTCACAATTTAAACATTTTATATAAAAGGGGATTAAGACATTTTAGGTTTTATGAACAAAACACTAAAAATTACGTGGCGGCCAAAATAGCCAAGCTGTGACTTTAATTGAGTTGGAGAAGTTTTCCAAATCCATTATTTTGTCTACATTTTGCATTTCTGTTGTCAGTCGGCTAGATTTCACTATTTAGTAATTTAACTTCTTTGCATGCAAAAATGCATGTTTCAAATAAACGGAGGTCCTAAACAGGTTTTAGTCGATATAAAGTTCCTTATATTAAAGGAACACTTAAAAAACCATAAGGCCACTACTGCTCAGTGTAGTGCTTATGGTATGGAAGATGTCCCCCTGTCTTTTTTTTTTTTTTTTTTATCTAACTTTTTTGTAATCGTTTCTCACTGTTACCTATAGCTGATTCCCTTTGCAGTCACACTGAAAATGTAACAATAATACGTCCACTTTACTAAGTGTGACTTCATTCACCTTGTATGGCAATGATGGGCAGAGACAACTAGCCAATAGTTTACACGTTATTGGTGCAGTCAAAAAAGGGGTGAACTATGGGAGCTCGGGACAAAAATAAAGTGGGGGAAGGTACCCGTGGACTTACAGCACCATAACAACTCTGATGAGCTGGAGTGGTTCTGATATCTGGAGTGCCTATTTAAAAGTAAAGAGAGAATAATCCACTAATTGTGTTGGGCATATTTAAAAAGGGGTGAGTGTCAAACCGCAGGCACAGTGAAATATTTAAATCTTTAAGGTTAATATATTGCACAACAATAGGAATATGGAACTTAAGGGGTAAATGTCACTTTTTTGGAAATCACTGAATAATACGTTAAAAATCACCTGTGGCTTGTGTTAACGAGTTACTCCACCACATGACCATGTACTCCCCTCACCCCATGTGTAGCGCTAAAATATATTTTAGACAAATGACATCCTGTTCAGGTACAGCCTGATTTGCAAATGTGTTGGAGAAATAGAAACCTATTCTGTGTGTGCTTTCTCTGTGCTGGCTGCCTGGTGCAAAGGTCAGAGCTTATAACAATGATTGACAGGAAGCTAAAATGGAGGCGCCCAGGTGCAGATTAGGGAGGTGTGGATTTTAATTTTCACACCTCACAAATACATATTTGTTAAATCTAGATAAGTAAACATACTTCTTTTTCTCTACTAGCTAGGCCTTACAAGTTGCTTGACACTGCAATCATGGAGGATCCATGACACACTTATCAAGGCTGATTTTTTTATTTATTTATTTTTTTTATTTTTTTTATTTATTTTTTTTACTTGCCATGGCAAAATTTTAACTCACCAAGTGCTAGTGGGAATTTTGAGGGGTGTGTGTGTGTGTGTGTGTGTGTGTGTGTGTGTGTGTGTATAGCAAATACAGACTCAAAGGAATCCATCTTTAAAATGGAATGAGGCAAAAATGTGATTTTGTTAAACTAATTTGCATATGCCCACCCAGCATCCTTTGTGGTAGTAACATCACTGCAGATTTGTGATTTCTGTGGGAAAAGCAAGTCTTATGGCTTGACTGGTGTGCAGCTGTTTGTTTAACATTGTATTAAATATCCACCGACTTCAGGTGGAAGGGGTTTTCAATCACGTTTTTCTCCCTACCCTAACCTTTTTGGTTTTTGCTACAAAAAAAAATATATAGTTAATACAATGTTAAACAAACATCTGCACACCAGTCAAGCCATAAGACTTGCTATTCCCACATAAATCACACATCTGCAGTGATGTTACTACTGCAAAGGATTCTGGGTGGGCATATGTAAATTAGTTTAACGAAGAATCACACTTTGCTACATTCCATTTTAAACATGGATTCCTTTGAGTCTGTGTTTGCTGTATACAACAGCTTTGAAACACAACTTAGGAAAAGATGCAAATCGTCAGCATGAGGTTGGTTACTGGTTTGTTATTGAGGCTTGGTAGTGCTTGGGTAGCAAAATCCAAATAGGTTATGGTGGGGAAAAATTGTGATTGAAAACCCCTTCCACCTGAAGTCTGTGGATTACATATATAATTAAAGGGAACAACTACAGTCACCAGAACAACTATAGCTTATTGAATTTGTTCTGGTGAGTATAATCATTACCTTCAGTTTTTTTGCTGTAAACACTGTGTTTTCAGAGAAAATGCAGTGTTTACATTACAGCCTAGTGATAACTTCACTGGCCACTCCTCAGATGGCTGTTAGAGATCCTTCCTGGGTCATGGCTGCCTAAAATGCATCCAAACATTCAGTATCTCCTCCCTCTGCATGCAGACACTGAACTTTCCTCATAGAGATTCATTGATTCAGTTCATCTCTATGAGGAAATGCTGATTGGCCAGGGCTGTGTTTGAATCATGCTGGCTCTGCCCCTGATCTGCCTCCTTGACAGTCTCAGCCAATCCTATGGGGATGCATTGTGATTGGATCAGGCTACCACTTCTGATGATGTCAAGAGACTGCTTGTTTTTCTGAGTCTAACAGCATGCAGAGCTACAGCTTCTGTCTTGAATACAGTTAGATTTTTACTAAATTTATGGAGGCATGAAGTGTCCAGGGGGCTAGATGGTGGTTTTAACACTATAGGGTCAGGAATACATTTTTGGTATGCTTTTATTAAACAAAATAAGAAGTACATTTTTGACTGTGGTGTGTTTTTTTTCTTTTCTTTTTTTTTAAATTTTATTATTATTATTTTATTTTAGTTTCTTGTGGCCAGGTATATACTGTGTGCTGTATAGTATCCATAAGGAACTAGATAAATAAATTGTGCAAAGAGGTTTATGACACTGTCATTGAAAGTAAAGGGAGGATCTGATTTGACTAAGCCACTTGCTGATCCTTTAAGATGTCATTGCCGAAGCTGCAACGCCTATTGATTTGCAACATGTGAGAGACCTTGAAAAGGGAATTTAAAAAAAAATAAATGAATGCATTTATTTTTAATTGATACGATCTCCATAATGTATTAAAAAGTAATCTGCTCCAGCTTACAATTAGCTTGAAAATATATATATATTTTAAAAATTTTCGATGAACATTTTGATTGTGTGTATGTACGCATATATGCGTTTGCAAACAATATATTAAAAATAATACAAAATAAAAAGCTGCTTCTTTTGGAAGTGCTTGCATTTTCTGCAAATCCTAAGGTCTTGCAGCTTCTACAGTGAAACCATATGCCCCATAACATTCTATGGCATTGCTGCGCTTCTCTTATAATCCCTGCCCAGGGTTTTCATTATTGGTAGAGCAGACTATTCTTTGAATTATAGTTGAGCTCTTTTCTTTCTATTGTTAAAATTTGACAATTCAATTACAACTCCCTCCTTCTCTGTTGTCACTTGTGTTGGTACAAGTACTTGTAGGGGCTAAGAGAAGCATAGCTTCTCCCATGACATGTTTGAGTGCTGTGGTGACTCGTGAGCTTATACCTGCACTTAAGACCCGCAAGTTACTTACTCACTAAACTCAGGATTTTCATGAATTGAAAAACTGAGGCATAAATCCGAAAAGATTTAGCAACTTATCCCATTTGTGTTTATTTTAGCCAATATTGGGGGATTCGTGAATTACACTCAGTGTCTGCAGTTAAAGATTGTGAGAGCAAAGTAGGTGAACTGAAATTGTAATTGGAATTTTGTTTTTCCAATTTTGTTATTTGTGGCCTAAAATTTAAAATGTACTTTTGAATAACCCTGATAGTCTATATTTGTGAGCTATTGTTTCTGGGATATTTGTGTAATGTGTTCCCATTTAATGTTGCAGATTCGTGCCTGCTATCATGGCTCTCAAGGCCCGTGCGCTGTACAGTTTTCAGAGTGAGAACAAAGAGGAGATTGACATTGTGGAGAATGAGGAGTTGAACTTGCTCAGTGATGTGTCCCTCGACGGATGGCTTCAGGGGACAAACAGCCGTGGTCAGACAGGTCTCTTTCCTGCATCCTATGTGGAGATCGTACGCCCACGCTCTGACTCTGTGCAGGTAGATTACTCAAGGCACCAGTCAAGCTACACCGATACCAACACTACCACCACCACCCACCATGGCAGTTATGATGACGACGAAGAGGACGATGATGACTGGGACGATTGGGATGATGGGCAGTCTGTAGCAGAAGAACCCACTGGCTCTAACGGAGTGCCCCACAGTCAGCCACCACGCCATAATTACCCCAGGCCAGAGAATGCACACCGGCCACGGCCCCAACTAGAGCGTCAGGACAGTGTGGCTAGCGGTAAAAGGGGGAGTGTAGTAGGTCGAAACTTAAATAGATTTTCTAGTTTTGTGAGATCTGGTGTGGAAGCCTTTGTACTTGGCGATGTGCCCCAGTTCGGTAGAGTTGGTGAAACCCATCTAATAGAAATGGGAAGCAAAGGGCCACAGTGGAAGGGGAGCCCTTATCCTTTCAATTGCTCCGTGGAGGAACCAACCAAACAGACCAAGTTCAAAGGAATCAAGAGTTACATATCTTACAGGTGAGGACCCAGACGGCGGATTAGGAATTTTTAAACTTATACCCGTGCTGTATGGTACAAAGTATTATTTGAATAATGATTTTGCCAAAAAATTTTTATATATGTATAACCATCATTACAACCAAAATGTAATGCATTGTATGCGTAAATCAGAACAAAATAAAATACTCAACATTTTGAGTTATTAATAACTAGAACACTCAAACAGACCCCTCCCAGAACAGGAATAAACTCTGGCAATCAGGGACCTCACATTCTGGTTTATGGGAGATTTTCCATATCACATAACATTATCCGAGGAGGGTTATATTATCTGTAGGACCATAGGCGTGCGCAGCCTATTGCATTAGGGTGTGCACCCTAAAGCACAAGCACAAGCACACGCTATATATATATATATATATATATATATATATATATATATATATATATATATATATATATATATATATATATATATATATATATATATATATACACACACACTGCTGTGTGTGAGGGTGCTGTTAGTGTGTTTGTGTGTGCGTGCTTGTGAGGATGCTGTTAATGTACTGTGTGTGCGCTTGTGAGGGTGCTGTTAATGTACTGTGTGTGAGGGTACTGGTAGTGTGCTGTGTGTGTGTTTGTTAGGGTCCTGTTTGTGTTTGTGAGGGTACTGTTAGTGTGCTGTATGTGTGTGTGTGGGTACTGTGTATGTCTGCGGGTGCTGTGTGTGTTCTTTATGTGGGTGGGTGGGTGATTGTACATTACTTGCTATACTTGAATCGTGCTGCTGATTCCATCCCTGGTGGTCCATTGGAGAGTTCACTCTCGCGAGATTCATATCTCATATCTCGCAAGAGGAGCTGCCGGCAATAGCTCCGCCAGTCCTCTCCCGCCTGCCTCCCTCCCTGCATGTGGGGAGGGAGGCTGAGAGCAGAGCCGGCGCTCAGATAGCGCCGGCTCTGCATGAGCCGACAGGGGAGATCCTGAGATCTCCCCTGCCGGTCTCAATATACATAGGCGTGCCGCGGGGATTAGGGTGTGCCCAGGCACACCCCGTGCGCACGCCTATGTGTAGAACACCAGGTTAAAGGGGCAGCTTACTAAACCGATAACTGCTAAACTTTGGCTTCTATCAGTTTATGTAACGTTTTGTGAACCGGACTGTGTGCACTATTGTGCTATGCTGCAAGACCTGAGAGAGAGAATATTGGCGTAATGTCTCAGAGGACAACACCATCACAAGTTTGACGGAAGAAGTAACGTTACTTTTTTTATGTCTGCAATCCGGGCAGGCTTATAGCAGGCTTTTGCAAATATTGCTTAGTAACCCTTTAAAGGGAGTTATTTATTTGTTTTGTTTCACATCAACGGTGATGGATGTTCCCAACTATTTTTTTTTCTTTTCGTGCTTTAGCACCATAAACTGCAAGCACCATAACATCAATATTGTTCTGTAGTGGATATGGTCCCAGGACTGCCCTGGTGCACCCACCCCTGAATGTAAATAGTCAATTAGTTGAACAACCGTTTGATAATTTACCTGGGGTCTGTTGGGCGTGGACCCCAGGTAAATTGGTTTTGTTACTTACATTGTGGGGCGCCAGGGTACTGTTGGCATCACTGTAGTGGTTGGAATGTTCTATTAAAGAGAACTATATAGTGTAATCTCCATAATGCAAATTAGAAGAAAGTTATATTCCAGATAGCTGGAATGAGTGTTATGCAGGGATTTATTAAAATCTACCACTGCAAGCATTTGTACATTTAGAGGACAGTATGTGCCTAATAAAACACATGTATTTTGTTTTGTTTCACTTCATAATACAGCAATCTTATTCTTCATGCTGTCTGGAAAGTGCTTTGTAGGATTAAAACATGCTATAAACGTAGTTGTATTGGTTCCGTTTCTCCCCTTCCCCGATATCTTCCTCCTTTTTGGGTTCTATTCTTTAATGCAGGGGTCTGCATTGCTCTCATCCACGATACTATTTAATTAACCCATTATTTTAAACTTTTCCTGTATCCCAATTTTTACTTTGATCCAAAAGTTGGCACAACACATACTGATTTACAAATAAAAATGAGGTTATTTGGATCATCAGTTGTTCATTCCTAAAATTTGATCTGTTAAAATGCATCTAACTTAAAGATCACTTCCCCCCTGCCCCGCTTAATTTCTCTTAATTGGTAAAGGCTAAACACTTCTGCTTTAACCCCTTAAGGACCAAACTTCTGGAATAAAAGGGAATCATGACATGTCACACATGGCATGTGTCCTTAAGGGGTTAAATAGGTATTTAATTATCACATGCTTTTTTTTTTTCTTTACTTCTGGGCTGAGATCAGCAGAAACAGTTTGATGCCAGTATTTAAAACATTCCTCCTATGTTCTGGTGATATTTTCACAACCCATCCTTTCAAACCTGGAACTAAATGGAAGCCCTAGAATGAACCCATTGAGTGATTGGCGAGGCAGAAATATATTGCACTTTATCTAACTATAGAAAGATTTACTACTAAGTTTCTATTTCAATAGAGAAGAGCTTAATTGGTTATTAAAGCATCTGCCACTTTAAGCTTTTTGTAAAGATATCATTTTTTTTATCAAAAACTAATTTGACATTTAAAAAAAAAAACTTTTTTTTTTTTTTTTAAGTTCTTTGAAATTCCAGCACAATCAAAAGATATATACATGAGACAAGTCTTTGGCAAAAGGCGGAATTTCTTCGCCATTTCAAATGACTCGCCTGTTGCAAACACTGATTGAACCGGGCATCAGCATGATTAGCAATAGATCACTATGGTACCTTATTGGGCAGGTTCCCTTGTTACACCTAAAGCAACTTGGAAATCATATTTGGATAATCCTAAAAGCAGCCTTTATTTATCCATGTTTTTCTGATCTCTAAAACAAACCACAACGAATACACAGACAGACAGACATTCTTATTATGGGGGCACTCCACAATAAAAAATAAATCACTATTTACTAGATATACCCCCAATTGAAACATGCATGCATATAATTATGGATTTTGTTATATTTATTTTTATTTTTTATATATATCTAAACCAAAAGTTGCTGTTTTATTTAGAATTTTTTTTTTTCTCTGAAAAGGCTGTGCTTACAATAAAATGCATGCACAGACCTACTATAATCACCAGAACACCTACATTAAGCTGTAGTTGTATTGGTGACTATAGTGTCCCTTTTAAGATGGGATACTCCTTAGGTGAAATGCTTTGTGGGTATGGAATGGTCCTTTTTTAAAGGAATGCACACTGATCAGCCACAACATTACAACCACTGACCGGTTAAGTGAATAACATTGATAATATTGTTATAGAGGCACGTGTCAGACGTGAGATATATTAGGCAGTCGGTTCTTTAATCTTATGCGTTGGAAGCAGGAGAAATGGACAAGCGAAAAGATCTGAGTGACTTTTTGACTTGGGCCAAATAGTGATGGCTGGAATGTTGGGTCAGAACATCTCCAAAACAGCAAGTTTAGTGGGGAGTTCCTTGTATGCAGTAGTTTAGTACCTGCCAAAAGTGGTGCAAGGAGGGACAGCCGGTGAACTGGTGTCCGGGTCATGGGCGACTTGTGTGGAGTGAAGGTTAGCCCGTCTGGTCCTATCGCGAAGAAGAGCTACTGTAGCTCAAATTGCTGAAAAACTTAATGCTGGTCACGACAGAAGGGTGCATCTCAGTTTGTGTATGGAGCTGCGTAGCCGCAGGACTGTAAGAGTGCTCATGGTGACCCCGGTCCACTGCCGAAATTGCCTTCAAAGGGGACTTGAGCGTCAGTACTGGACCATGAAGCAGTGAAAGGAGGTTTCCTGGTCTGATGAATCGCGTTTTGTTTTAGATCAGGTGGATGGCTGAGTGTGTGTGCATCATTTACCTGGGGAAGAGATGGTAGCAGGATGCACTATGGGAAGAAAGCAGGGCGGTGGAGGCAGTGTTATGCTTTGGGTCCTGGCATTCATATGGATGTCACTTACCACCTACATGTACCACCTACCTAGAGATTGTTGCAGGCCACATACACCCCTTCATGGCAGTGGTGTTCACTGATCCATTTCGCAACATGCAGGGATTTAATAATCTGCTGCTAATGGTTTTTGTACCAGATACCACAGGACACGTTCAGAGGACTTGTGAAGTCCATGCCTCAATGCATCAGGGCTGTGTTGGGGACCTACATGATATTAGGCAGGTGGTTTTAATGCTTTGGATGTTCATTGTATACTGGGTACAGATTAAGGAACCATGCAACAGCCCTCCCACGTTAAAATTGAGTGTAGGACCCACCAATTTTGCGGTAGTGGGGGACTTTAGATGATTTGGTCATATCCCCATATTTGTTTGCTGAGATGGGTGATTTTAAGTAGTCATGTAAAACTGTGTATTTGTGTGCGAACCTTAATCTGTATTTTGTATAAATGTTGGTCTCTACGGAGGCACCATGCAGAGAAGTTCATGTGTCTGATGTGCCCCCAATTCCCTTTCTTTTTCAGTGTATACTGGGTGTCAGTGTGTGGATTTAGGGGTATATGTAAACGGAGTGTCAGTTTGTCAAATGTATGAGGTGCAGGTATACTAGGTGTCAGTGTAATTCTACAGGTCTATGTAAGCTGGGTGTCAGTGCTTGCATGTAGTGGGGTACTTGTGTTATTGTGTGTGGAGTGTCAGTGTTTGCACACATGCAGGAATGTTTTGTGTGGATTGTCATTGTGTGTCTAAATGCAGGGATATATATGGATAGAAACATATGTGTGTAATATATAATATACGTGTTTTGCAACTCTTTACCTCTCCATGTGGTTTGTCTACGTCCTACACATTGCTAACTCTATACATTATGTGCCTGGCTAAACTCTCACTCATCCTGGCTCCTTCCTTTTAATTGTGAATTTAAAGGGTTAATAGCCTAAACACCCCTCCCAAATAAGCCATGAAGGTGTGCCAAAACCTACCAGCACCACCCCATGTTCTCAGTTACTCGTGACCACCATCGAGACTTTCTATCCGGCATCTTGAGTTACCTTTTTAAATGTATGCCTACTCAAAATGTGTAATACAATCATTGGTAACTTGATAACCTTCACAGGAATTCTGTCTCTGCTAGAACCGGATCCGAAGTAATTCAGAGTAATTAGTGTTTTAATTTCTGGAAAATCCTGAGCTATGCTTAATACAAAAATTACACACAAGGACCTGTCCGGCTCGGGCACAATACAGAAGCTCCGGTTTTACTTTATCAAAGAGACAATACAGTGAGATTCTCATCCTTTTCATTTTTAAAAAACATTTTTTATATGCTTGTTGTTTTTCTCATTCTTGGGTTCTGGGAGTTTAAAGGGTTCTACACAGTATCTTAGTTGTTACTAGAGCTGCACTCTTCTGGACAGAGTTCTGGATATTTCTCCTGAAATCAGCTAAAGCTACTCCCCCCCCCAACTTGGGGGTTATTATATAATTATCCCTATATGTATGTGAAACAAATAGACTTTCTTCTGATGCAGTACCTTAGCAGAACAATTACATGTAGTTAAAGGGACACTATAGGCACTCAGACCACGTCAGCTCATTGTCTGACATTGCAGTTCCAGAGAACATTGCAGCACTAAGTCGGCCTACAGTGGCTGTGTACCAGACAGCCACTGGAGGCACTTCCTGAATCGAAACAGACCTTGGTGTGTAAAACCGTGACTGACGCTAGACGTCCTCACACTCTAGGAAAGCATTGATTATATGCTTTACTATGGGGAGGTCTAATGCACATTAGCGCCTGCTCGTCGCTGGACAAAGAGAAGTTGTGCATCGTCCTGTTGATTCATTTTTAGGTTCGTAGTCAATGAAAGTACTTAGCTATTTGTAAGGGATCTCCTCTAGTTTCTCATGCACAATAAATGAATGTATGGTCTCTACATTGAAGTGGAAGCCATATTGAACTATTCACTTTTTAAATTGTGATCGCTTAACTATATATCTATATATCTCATAAGCTCATGTCCTGCAGAGGTTTCTGGATATACAGAACTCTCCCATTGTGAACACTGAGAGACATTGGATTGGTTGAGAAAACTCGCCCAATTCCTAGTGATCTCAGGGTTTAACAATAAACACACATCATTCAGGAATCATTATCGTTGTTAGTTTTTTTTTTTTTTTTAATACATTTCCTCCATAGTTCATTAATAAGGGCAGTTGACTTGCCTGGGATGTCCATTTCATGTACCTATTTGTATACTCATCTACAAATGTACACACTGAATTATGGAGCTTATTTACTAAACACCAGATTGTTGTGAATTGCAAGATTTCTGAAAATATAGTGACACAAATTGGAATGTTTTTCATAGTTATTTTAGCCTACATTTTGCTTTTTGGGTTTATTCACTAACCACACTTTTACGGTGAAGAGAAAACCAACGTGTAGAGGATGCTAAAGTGTGATATTTGTCCTATGTGTGGACATCTAGGGTTTGTTGAATGTGTGTGCCTCTCCTTGTGTTGAAAATTGTGTGTTTTGTGGGTGTGCTGTTTGTGCAATCACTGCATTAGAATAAGAGCAGTTGGTGTGTCACTATGAATTGCAAAGAACAATGGGTGTGGGAGGCTGTGCATTCAAAGCAAACTACAGCATGCTTTCTGTGTCAAAATGCCATACAGCAGGTTGCGTGACAAAACTCCTTTTTGTCTACGCCAGTGTCACCTGGGATGGTGGGCATCTGTCATTCTAAGTTGACATATGCATATCTCAATTAGTTTGCGAAGATCTATAAGGCTATGGTTCCTGCAGCGTTGGAAGTTTATACTGTTAATAGTTGAGTAATAAAAGATGTCATTTAGTGACTAAATTAGCTACTGGTATCAAGTAAAATATTCGCATGATAGAACTCTGGAATTAAACTGTGCCTGCACCCCTCAATTCCAAAACCCACATTCTTTGTTATATTTTGGATACATTGATAGTTCTGTTACATCCTTATGTTTCTGCTATTGAGAAAGTAAAACCCTACACTCGTAACAAGACGTTTACTTTATTATTGCATTACAAAGCAATGGAAACAAGTCCTGCTTATCTTCCACATTGCTTCTTCACGGTCTTTCAAAATTCAGACAAACACATTTTTCTACTAAAGCTCCATTCTGTTCGTTTACATTTCTGCAGAAGGATTAATAGTATGGTCCCTTCTTCCTTCACCCTCTCTACAAGAACTCTTTTAGGTCACACTTCATAGATGTATTCTAGAAGGTGGGAGGAGGAGGGATAGTTTGGGGGTCTTTGTTTTTCAGACTCCTTGGAGCATAGTACATTTTGCATTCAGGAACTGCATTCTGATAAGTTCCATAGCGTTCTAGACAAATACCCTTAATTATGATCTATATTTATTTTGCCTTTATATCCTGTTTATATATGATCCTTACGTGACAAAAATAGTTTGTTTCAATGCTGTCACTTCCAGTCCACTCTGCAATACAATAACACTACTACTACTAATAGACATTTCTCTCTTCTGGGTTTTACAGACTGACTCCAGACCACACAAACTCACCAGTGTACCGACGCTACAAGCATTTTGATTGGCTCTACAACCGCCTGCTTCACAAATTTACAGTTATCTCTGTTCCCCATTTACCGGAGAAGCAAGCAACCGGTCGATTTGAAGAGGACTTCATTGAGAAGCGCAAACGCAGGCTGGTTTTATGGATGAACCACATGACCAGTCACCCAGTTCTCTCCCAGTATGAAGCTTTCCAGCATTTTCTGAGCTGTCGAGATGATGAGAAACAGTGGAAGGCTGGAAAGAGGCGAGCGGAGCGTGATGAAATGGTTGGAGCCAGCTTCTTACTAACACTACAAATCCCAAGTGAGCATCAGGATCTCCAGGATGTAGAGGAACGAGTTGATGTATTTAAAGCCTTCTCCAAGAAGATGGATGAGAGTGTACTCCAGATGAGCAGTGTAGTTTCTGAACTGGCTCGTAAGCATTTGGGTGGCTTTCGGAAGGAATTCCAAAGGCTAGGAGGTGCTCTACAAGGCCTCAGCACCTCCTTCCAGTTAGATCCTCCTTATGGCTCAGAACCGCTAGTGAGCGCCATATCTCACACTGGGCAAACTTATGAAAAAGTTGGGGAGATGTTTGCCGAACAGCCCAAGAATGACCAATTTCGGCTACTAGACACTCTGTCCTTGTACCAGGGCTTACTATCCAATTTTCCCGATATCATTCACCTACAGAAAGGTATGTCCTGAATGTGTTGTCTTTTGTCTGCTGCATAAAACTTTTTGTAGTTTGTAAGTGATCAAACATTGGCCAGGGATATATATTAATAAGTGGAATGAGGGTGATAACTGTATTGACCAACTAAAGCCGTCATATTTAGTGCCCTTAATCACTAATAACAACAGTGGGTAGATTATAGATGCTAAAAACGTTAATGTCTTCATGTTACTCATGATTGCCTCCACTGATATCAGCCTCCAGTTACTATTTACCGTTTTGTAAACTGGACAAAAATGGCACAGTTTGTCAATCGTCATAGCAGTCACCACTACAAATTCTTTTTCAGCTACCCTTTTTATGTCTGCAATAGTAGTACATGAGTGTACTATGAAATGATATGTAACTCTTCCAAGATAAGAATGGGAAAATTGCTGTCTACCTCCATATTTCCGATTGCATCCAAAAGCAAGCTAGACTTATAGTCAAAGGTTGCACTAAAAAAAAGCGTCCCTGAGTTCAAAGTAAGTGAGGCAGGAAACCCTCCCAGATATTTGCACTTTTTCCCCCCACTTTTTATTTACGTTAAGGGAGCAGTACAATATAGAATCAAAATGTAGTTGGTCCAAAGGTATTGCACCTAAACCTGCATTTTTGGTATCGGGAAGGAAAGTAGGTAAACAACCCTCAACAATGAACATAGAATAGAACCAGAAAGAAAGGGGAAATGACTGAGAATTAGGGAGAGATAGCGAAATTTGCACTTTTATAAAGTAAATATGCGTGGACATGCAGTTAACATTCTAAAGCACCTCCATCATCTGTTTGGCTATGATGTAGATTATGCATTAAGTGAATTGGTGGAATGATAATGTAACCATATGGACAGAGAATCAATAGAAATTTCAGCAATTTCAGCAATTTCAAAGTGAAGGTTCCATTTTAGGCAAAAATGTTAATTTCAGGTGGAATTCACACTTTGATGAATAACCTTGTCTGAGAAGAAGTAATTGTAGTAAGAAATGAAAGGTAATTAATATAGACCTGTAAGGACCTGATTTAACCCCTAACTCACTGTTTGTATTTCTTGTTTGTTTTGATAGGAGCGTTTGCTAAGGTAAAGGATAGCCAAAGGATGAGCGACGAAGGGCGGATGGAACAGGACGAGGCAGATGGCATACGCAAGCGCTGTCGTGTGGTGGGCTTTGCTTTGCAGGCGGAGATTAACCATTTCCACCAAAGAAGGCTGCTGGACTTTAAGCAAGCACTCCAAAATTACCTGAAGGAGCAGATCATCTTCTACCGCAGGGTGAGCGACGAGCTGGAGAAGACCCTACACAAATATGATTCCCTGTGACCTTAGGGTTGGGCAGAGTGAACATTTCCAGAACAAGCTGGGGATTTTTACTATTTGGGTCAAAAACTTTAAAGGATTATGACTTTATACCAGCCACAGTATGATGATTGGTCGGGTGTATTTACCATTGGATTTTTCTTCTTCAGATACACCATCTCATTCTATATGTTTATATTCATTCCAAGATGTCTCTGTAGATTAATCCTCTAATAGTAGATGCCCCCACGGGAAGGGGCACATCAAACATGGGAAGACTGATCTTGTAAGTTGTTACACGTGGACTCTGTTTAACCTCCTGTAGGGCCCAAGCACTGTGGTCCTGAAAAGTTTGGGTGTGAGTTTAGAGATGATTTATTCTCTGGTGTTTGTATTTGTAAATGTATATTTTGACGGGTTCTGCTGTGTAACAAAAGCAATAATAAATCAAAGCTTTATATTTTACCTTGGTTGGAGTATGTGCCAAGAACTATTTGGGACTTTAAATCCCATCATTTTTTTTCGGTGAAGATTGTGATTTATTGTTGGCAGCCTATCAGCCCCAGCTTAAAACGCACTTCCCTCTCGCTATGGCCCTCTTCAACCCATCGTTTCTGAAAGTTTTCTTTTAATATGTAATTGTCCTATTTATAGTTAAATCCCCCCTCTAGGTTGGTACCTGCTCCCCTTTTGTAACACCTCTGCTTCCTGGCACCCATACCATTTCCCCTCTGCTGTACGTTATCAATACAAATACTTATTTGTCCAATATTTAGGCAGCAGGCCCTGGGGGAAACTCTGTTATGTAAGCCCCTTTTAATATTTTCCTTTTTATATTTGATAACATTTTGTTATGGCTGTTTGGGACAGTTTAACTACTTTTTAAATGGAATAGTATGATATTTATTTATTGATTTATGTATAAATGATTTATACTGATATTACTGGGATTATTCACTCAAATGTAGTCTAAAATAGTCTGTTTATGAAAATGTTAATTTAGAGAATTAATTTAATTTAAACTGGATTCAGATATATAGTTTCCTGGTCACGTCTCCCGAAAACCCGTTGTATAGTGGACAATCCCTTAGGCTCCTGATGCTTTTCTTTCAATTTTCTGGTCTATGTGATTTGAGGTCTGTTAAAACATTTGCCTAGAGAATCTCTTGTCATGCCTGCTGGCTATTCTACAGAATGCACAGGGCTGCTGGCTTGGTTAAATGAGACAGGACGTGACCCCAGAAGCTATGGGTGTGACGGCCATGAATAGGGTGGAGTTTGGTTTGTGTGCTTAAATCTCCCACATACACTCAGAAAGTGGCCTGGAGGGGGTGATGTCACTTAGTAAGAATGTGATCCATTCAACTGGAGGAATTGGCAAGTAGGACTTCTAGGCAATAGCCCTCACCCCATCCAATCAACTGAATGCACCTTGTCACCAGAGCTGGCTATACAATGTATCAGACAGTGTGGAAGACACTAACTCATATTCGTGATTACTTACGCTCTGTTTGCTGTACAGAGACACAAGATCGATAGAATGTTTCTCTGTGGAGAGAGGATCTGTTTGTTTTTTCTTTTCAGAACAGGGAATGTGTTCAGGACAATATGTTCCTAGCTCGCCAGATTTCTATATGCATTAGTTTGACGTACACAATTTACACATTTGCTGTGTTTGTTTTTATAATGTTATGTTACAGTGTAAACATATTTTTCCTTGTGAAAACCAAACCGTTCACGGGATCGTGTGTTTCTGCAAGTCTGTTTTATATAAACAAAGATTACATCTGTATCCAGGGAATGTTTTGCTAAATCCGAGAACACTGGGGAATATTCACAAGCATACATGTGTAACAGTTCTGTACTTTCCCTTTCGGACTTTCTTGTAGCAGTTTTTGGGACGTTTCACTGGTTTGACCCATGTTGCATTTTGTTCATGTTAGAATGGGTCAGAATGCTAAGTAAGGAGATGAGGTGGCACTGGCTGAGGGTGAAATGATGGTTATGTGGAAGAGTCCCTATCTTGTGGCAGGATGCAGCATAGGGTGAGATGCTGGGTATGAAAAGGTGGCACCTGCCAAGGGTAGGAGCTGGACTGTAGCAAGATGCTGTGTACTGATACTGTTCATCAAAATGTAACTTCGGCCAAATCCTTAAACTCCAAAAATATTTAAATTTTAGCAATTTTTTTTCAGCTCTGGTATTTTTGCCTAAAATTTAAAATTATTTGGTCATTTACCATCAGTTACTGGATTAGTGAACAAAACCTGAAGGAATAGAAAGAAAAGATGTTTTGAACAAATAGTCCTCAGGGTTTTATTTTATTACATACATATTCAGATTGTTCAATACTTTTTATAAGAAACAAACAGGAAGTCCACGTCTTGAAGGGACAACTTTTGTCAGTGTTATTTACTACAGTGAGAATTCAAAGTGAATTTCGTACTGGGAAAAAATTCAGGTATGCTTCCAATTCAGCTACTCTCACCATAAATTTTAAATTCACTTTAACCCTATGAGTGTTTAAAGGCATACTATAGTGTAAGCAATACAAAGCTGTATTCCTTACACTTTACTTCCCTTTGGCCCCCTCTCCCTCGTGTTAAAAAAACTTCCTCGCCGTTCCTTAATCTCAGACCGACCCCATAGACATGCATTTGCTTTTCTATGAGTTTATTTATTTTATTTTTTTGACGCTGGATGTTCTCATGCAGAGCGTGTGGTCATCCAGCATCAGTTAGTCGACCAAAAGTTGCCTAGCAAGCAGGAAGTGCTGATTGACAGCCACTAGAGGCAGCCCCAGTCCTGCAAGGTAATTACTGCCTTTTTCTCTAAAACTGCAATGATTTACATTGCAGGGCTTAGTGAAACCGGGACACTGCACCTAGACCACTTCAATCAGCTGAAGTGGTCTAGGTGCCTATCGGAAAATGTAAGCTACAAAGCAGAATAGATAAAGACATATATTGTAAGTTTCTCTCTCTCTCTCTCTCTCTCTCTCTCTCTCTCTCTCTCTATCTATCTATCTATCTATCTATCTATCTATCTATCTATATATATATCCCCTTACTTTAATTTTAAAGTGCTGCGGTATATGTTGCCTCTATATAAATGCTAATAATAATTCCAGTAGATTTTTGCATTCTTTTCCAAGCCAAGTGTTATTCATGACCCTTCACAGTACAGGAGTATTGCATCCCCAGAACAAACATCATGCGATATCCATCTAAGGAAATGTGATCCCTTTTTCTTTGTAGGCTGACTATAAAGAAATTGTTTGTTCACTGTTAACCACTTATTTGCGTAGTACAATCAGCTGGTGCAGTCACATGGGCAAGAGGCTTTTTCCTTTTTTCTTTTTCTTCCTAGATTAATAGTTTTGTGTTGCCTGATGCAATTGATGGTTTATGTTTTTGTGTGTTTGTGGTTGTGATGCAATATTTGTTATTATGTGGGCATTCACGTTTCTCATGTTAGAGTGCAATACGCCAATAATGGCTCATGCACAAATACTGTTGAGTATGAGAATATTTAGGTGTTATTGGGTGATGTACAGCACAATAAAGTGTCAGTTAAGACCAAAATAGACGAGCTAGAAAAAGTTTTCAAACTCAATTATCTTTCTAGCTACTGTATTTTGTCCTTGAAGCAGCACTGTAATCCCCCAGCCAGTAGTGACCGCTTCAGGCAAATTAGCTCTTATCTATGGAGGATTACTTCCTGAAGTAGTGCATCAATATGGGTACATCAGAAGTCTGGGCATGCATATAATTTGATGCACATGCCCAAAGAAGGGCAGAGGTTGGAATTTCCAGCTGCCAACATCTTGGAAAAGCAAAGATGGCAGCTCCATGAAAGAAGACCTGACTGGAGTCCAGCACAGTTTTGGAATAGGTAAGTTGCATCAGTCCTGGGGGAAACCAATGGTTGGCAGCATGGGCCAGTGGATTATAGAGAGGCACCAAGTTGGTGACGGAGCTTTTTTAACATTTACAATTCGCCACAGCTCTGTTAAGTGAATAAACCCCACAGAAATGAATAATTTTATATTGGAGAAGTGCCGTATGTTTTTTCCATATTTGTGTAAAATCCTGGTAATAATAATATCATGTTTATGTGTAGGGCCCCGAGGGCTGTGCATTGGTAAAAAGCATGAAGGTGTCTGTGTCTGAGGTTATATTATGGTGGATATTTATGGAAGGTACAGTAATAGTCAGTGTATATGGAAATGCAATCAGCGGAGAAGCTGTGTGTACTTGGTGCAGACAATGTATGTGTATGAGCCATAAAAGACGGTATCTGTGGAATGTGACACCCCCCTCCCTCACACAGACATACAGAATGCAATGCTACATTTAATAATGCACTGATTGTATTAAATTCTATTGTGTTCACAGATCAACTTGCAACATAATTACTCAGGTATGCCAACTGTGCATGTCATTAGGAGGCACACAACGGATGTTTCATGACCGAATAAGAGGAGTTTCAGACCCAGTCTAGCTTGTCTGTTCGGGTCAATATTCAAAAGCTAAATGTGGGTAGACGTGGTGGGAGCGTAGCTTGCTCTATCCCATATCTCATGTGCCTCGTGTCCTCATAGTGTGAGGGTAAAGCTGACTGTTTAAAAGTCACTTTCCATGTCTAATAAATCACTTTGTTTATACAGTGCGAATAAAGGTATTTAATTTCCTATAGAGCAGTGGTGTTAAAGCAGTGTCCCATCAAAACAATTGGTCATTTACTAACGTGAAAATTCTTAGTGAATTTCTAATTTAAGCATCGAGCAGCTGAACTGGAATTATACCGGGCTTAGAGCAGTTTTCCATTTGGCTATTTCGACCGTAATCATATTCACTTTGAATTCTCACGTACAAATTCTCTGGTGTAACAGACAGAGTGCACTCATTACAGAAACACCATAACCACTCAAGTACACTGTTATGGAGTGTAAATCGCCAAATCATTTTAGAATAGTTTAACCTCCCTGCCTCCGCTACAGTCTACAGAGGAAGCTATGCGAGTTAAGCATGATGGGCTCAGCGTGGTGAGCTGACACTTTCAACGAATGAATTGGCCCTGCACTGCAGGACGTGGCCCAGGAGAGCTATCGGAACCTAAGCAGGACGTTCCTGATTTCTGTTGGATGTAGTAGACTTAGGAAGTGAAGCCTGGCAGACTTGAGGTAAAAAGATAAACTACATCTGGCATTATGGCCATTACAGCATACTAAAATGTGTAAATTGAAATTAGGCTTACCATGTGGCAATAAAACAAATGATACTTTTAGTTAGAAGTTGCATATTTCTCAGGTAAGGCAACAGCAAACTTTAAGTTTTATACTCTGCTGTTAAAGCTTTAAAAATAAACTAGCTGTGCTTTGGAAAATAATTTTTTTTTTTTTTTTTTTGTGCCATGGTCCAGAAAAGGTTTGGGAACAGTCGCTCTAGAGCTCACATTTTCACCGATGAAGATTTCACATACGAAGCAGTGGTAAATATAATTTTTGTTTTTATTGAAATTGGCAAACCTCAAACATGGATCACAGATAATGATATTACAGATTCCTAATTAAATACAAAATGGAATGATATGCAGGTTTGTGAGATAGCAGAGGAACCCTGCATGGTATGCTTTATGTAGATTGTCATGAAATACAGGTTGCACTGGTATAAAAATAGAATTGACAAATAAATAATTATTTTAGAGCTTGCAGTAACTAAATATATATATTTATGCTTTGCTAGAAAACCTGATCTGGAAACCTTTCACTCAAATGATCCGTACCTGAGTCACCTGCCTAAAGACAAGGTCTAGACGTTGGCGGTCACCACACGTCTTCGTTTTGATTAGAAGTGTATAAGGTTTGATAATCAGAGGGGAACTAGATTTAGGACTTTTTTTTTTTTTTTAACAGTATATTGGGACAAATGGGGTTAAGGAAAACAATTTACCAAAAAAAATCAATGACTATGAGAAATGTAATAGAAGAGATGAAGACACTCTCTATAGTGGGGGTGTTATTCAATAAACTGTGAATTGTGCAGAACTGGCAATAGAGTTAAACATTTTAAGGCATATATTAATCACTGAGCAGGAAAAATCGTTTTTGCAGCTCAGTTTTTTTAGCTTAACGTTTCCAGATCTCTTGTCCGTTCTCAATAATCGGTTTTATGTTGACACAAACTTTGTTTTGAGAACATTTAATAACCAGGACGACCACAGTCCACATTATCTCAATAGGCATAGAAACCTGCAATGAAAATCGTAACACATTTTGTACATATTCTGCTTCTTTGTATTTTGTAAGTGTTCCCATCACATTTAATCCTATAAACTTTGAATTCTGAGTGATCCAGACAGCATACTGACAAACCTGAAGTTATATATAAATCCCAGGAAACCTTATGTTTATACAGGACACATATCTGTGAAAATATACAAACTGTTATGCAGTCAATCAATGGCCCATGACCTTGAAAGCAGGATCCTTATATAAACTCTAGGGTAATTAGGTCTCTCCATTTCTTAGTGCAATTTTCCATGAGCATTTAGAGTATCTTTCCTTCACTGGAACGGATCCTCGGTGCTCTGCTTTTATTTTATTTATTGTTAGGACCATTATGGCTGTTTTGAGGCAAACTAGAGTTCCACTTCATGATCTTGGCAGTTGTTGGGAGGAAGCCTCCCTCGTTTCGACCCATGAGTAAAGTCTTGTTGGGTTCACACCCAGTACTGGCTACCTAATGGTGCCTGTCGTGCTCCATTACTTCTGTGCTCGGCCCCAACTTCACAGAGGGGGATTACCCTGTCTGGCTCTGTGGGTCGGAATGTTTGACGATCGTTGGTTCCATTTTCAGGCTTGGCAGAAGATGTGGCAGCTTTCTGGACATGGTGCATGCCCATCTTTTTTTTGCGGAGAAGGTAGACTAGAAGAAGAAGACCAATTGCAACTAGAATTAGCACTAGACAGATTGGTATGATAATGTTATATACATGTGCACTCGTGAATCCAAGTGCAGTGTTATTACCCACTGGTGCAAATGACGTGGATACATCTATAGTCCATGAGCTGTGAGAGGGAAGATCCTGAGTCGTGTTCACAGTAATGTCTTCAAGGTCTGAGAGATTTGATGCAAGTGTACTAAAGTGGAAACTTGTGGATGTTGACTCTGTAACGTTTACCAGTGTTGGGGTATAAAGTAGACTGGTAGAGGAAACCAATGTTGTGATTGATTCTAAATGTGTTGTTAACTGTGTGCTTGCTGTGGTCTCTAAATGTATGGTTGTTCCTAGATTTGTTGTAGGTTCTAGATGTGTAGTTGATTCTAAATCGGTGGGTTTTAGACCTTTTTTTGGTTGGAATGTTGTTGTGGGTTGTAAATGTGTGACTGATTCAAGACTTGTTGTGACCTCTAAATGTGAGGTTGAAGGAAGACTTGATGTGGGCTCAGAATGTGTAGTTTGTTCCAGGCGTATTTCTGGTTCTAAATGAGTGGTAACAACATAGCTTGTGGATTCCAATGTTGTAGTTGACATCTCCTGTGAGTTTGTGGTTGTTTCCAAATTCTTATTGACTCTCAGCAAGTTTACACTGTATGCGTTAGAGGAATTGTAGGGCACAGTGTTAAATTTTACAGTAATATTTGCAGGTGGCACCTGATTTGCACTGAGCTCCATATGAATCCTATCACTACGTATGTCTGTACTGCTTTGTCCATCATCCCATAATTCCACACCAATAAACCCACGCTCCAGCTCTGTTTGTGTAAAGGAATCTGCAATTGTGTCTTTCCCATCCTGGGAGATCCTCACAAGTCTCCCTCCACGTGGCTGTCGAAGAACTCTGAATTCAGGAACACTTGCTGTATATGTAGCTAATTCTCCTGCATCAACAGTCTCTATCCCCAGTTTCACTGTACATGCTCTTGGCCACTGTTCCTTGTCTCCTAACTTCACCATTGGGGATACTGTTATTGCCGCCATTCCAGCCACCTCATCGCCTCCAGGGGAAATGGCAAGAAACCTAAATTCATCCTTTGAAGATTGGAAGCTTGTAAAGGCATATGATACTTTACCATCTTTAACCTGCTTCCATCTGAACTCAGACACCGGCACATTTCCAGCAACCAGATGCCCATGAATTGGTTGCTTGGTTACATTATACAAGACTTCTTGTTCTATGCCTACTGTTGGTGGGACGTGATCTATTGTCAACACTGACCTTCCAGTTGCTTGTGGGACCTCAAGCACAGTTTTAAAGACGGTGGGTACTTTAATAGGTAGCAATGCAATTCCAGGGGGCTGGTGCTCGGTTGTAACGTTGAACTGGATGGAGCCTGAAATTGCTGTGTAGTTTGCCTTGATGATAACTTGTTGATTAGAAAGATCTTCTTGTGTGAAACTTGAGATTGGCACTGTAATGTGTTCTCGGTTTGCTAATGAAATGCCCACTGGTAGCTCAAGAATGCTGTAAATAATTTTCTTGGAGGAGGAATGAATATTTAGTAAAGATAAATGATTTGTGTTGAGGGCAGCATATGAGCCTGGCACCACGATTAAAGGTGACGTAGGTGGTGACATCACAGGAGGTAACTTGGGCACACTAATGATGGTAATATTAAGGTTCTCGGTAAGGGCTGCACTATCCCCCTCAAGAGGTGGTTCATGAAATGACTTTAATTTAGGCCACAGCCAGGCTTTGAACTGAAAGCTGTCCCCCTGTATTCCAGAACCTTTGTGGGTATAAATAAGGCTTCCCTCGTCTAGATGAGATTGTAAAAAGTGAGGATTCTGTGGGTTAATTATGGATCCTTTGATGGAAAGATGTCCTTGAGTAGGGAGTCTGGTAAGTAAAAACACCACATCATGAGAGAGACTGGAGACTGAGGGGTTTGCTAGCAGGTTTGAAGCATCGAGAATGGTGTGATCGATAGGTGAAGAGCCTCCTCCTAGAACTGTGAGACCTAAATATAGAGACAGGTACATAGCAACAGGTTATTATATAGAAACAGTGAAAATGATTGAACATGGTACAACATTTTGAACTTTTTAAAACTGTAAATATTGGTTCATGTTTAGAACTATTGTTAAATGCTGCAATTCGTAAAAGTGTGTTGCTATGGCAACAAAGCTCCCTTGGTCAACATGTGCAATTTGTCATGTGGAGACTGATAGTCTGACTTCCTAGTACATCTTAAAGGGCTAAGATATACCATGAGGTGGTCATAGTGGTAGAAGTATGTATGTGCAGTGTTTCAACTTTACTTGGACCAGACTACCTATGACAATTCTGTGCATGAAATACATCCGTTATCTAGGTGCACAACATGCTTGCAAAGGACTTATTGAGCTTGTGTACAGTTGCAAGAAAAGGTATGTGAACCCTTTGGAATGATATGGACTTCTGCACAAATTGGTCATAAAATGTGATCTGATCATCATCTAAGTCACAACAATAGACAATCACAGTCTGCTTAAACTAATAACACACAAAGAATGAAATGTTGCCATGTTTTTATTGAACACACCATGTAAACATTCACAGTGCAGGTGGAAAAAGTATGTGAACCCTTGGATTTAACCCCTTAAGGACTGAGCCAAATGTACACGTTGTGAAAGAAACAAAATGTAAACAAAACTGGCATTTGCGCTACATGTCTGTCCAACCGTAATTCACCTCTTTCATATTAAATGCACCCACCCTTATTATATATCATTTTATTCAGGGGAAACAGGGCTTTCATTTAATAGCAAATATTTAGCTATGAAACATAATTTAATATGAAA